AGAGGTGTTTCATATTTTAGAACAGCTATACTTTGGCTTCAGTCTCTTTTATTAGAATCTCCTGTAATAGGCTCCTGTTTAGCTCACTGAAATAATTTTAAATAAGATGAACAAGATCCAGATCAGTTAGTTCATGAGAGCTTATTTACATAAATAGCTCTTAATGTATTCTGGTCACCACAAGAGGAATTCTAATGCCAAAATCAGTAATAAAATAAAGGCAATAAAGCAATTTAACATGAATAGGAAATAAATGAAATAAAAGGAAATAAATGAAAAGTGAATTAAATTTTTACAGTTTTCAAGCTCCTGGATATTTTACTTTTTTTTTTCCCCCTCACTGCATGAAAAGACAGCAGACTAGCAATAAAGAGAAGGATCCTCGAGATGTTCTACAGCAAAAGTCTTCATCATTTTATTTTTCTTGATCCTATTAAGACTATGAACTGACTGTTTATTGTTTAAAAATCTAAGTGATGTTGTAAGATTGAAAAAGTCTCAGTGCTTTTTCACAGCTTTGCATGGTGACAGATGGTAACTGGTCTTATTGCAATGATCGTTTCATATTGTATAAAAAAAAATTGAATCACTAAACCTGAAACTTACCTAATACTGTATGTTAATTATAACTCAGTTTTTGAAAATTTGTATTCTTAGTTTCACCTGTGTAAGACTTGCATTTCCGCCAACTCGTATCTTTTTGGCTCTGAAGATTTATTTATAATACTTGTTATTATTGCACTATGGGGCTCACTGCACAAAATATGGCGGTGTATTTCAAGAGTTGATGAGTGCAAGCAGTGGGTGCTATCTGCAAAATCTTATAAACCAACAGAAAATTTTGTTGTATCAGACCCATGACAAAGTTTCAAGATTATATGTTGAGATGACCACTAAATTACTGCCATAGGAATAATAAATAATAATATATTATAAATAATACATAATAATAAATATAAATAAATAATAATAATAAACCTATCAACTGCATAACATTAACTCAGCATTTACTATGTAACTCTCTGGTAAATGTTCTTCGGGGTTTATCCTACTTATCTTGTCAGCTGGTGAGGTAGGTACAATACTGTTAATCCCTACTTTAATAAGTGATATCATTGGCACAAATAAGGCATTTGTTGAAAGTCACATAGCCAAGTAAACAATGGACACAAGATTTTTAAAAGTTAATATAAATTATCCTTCACTTGCTTTTTTTTCACTGAGTGTAAAGATGACATTCCCATATGCTTTTATAAATCTACCTATATTCTTCTAATGGATACAGAGTATTTCCTAGTGTACGTGTTTCATAATATGTGTAGCCATCTCATTCACATTTGATGAATGTGGTTTCTGGTTTCTCACTGTTACAGATAATAATATTAAGGAGATTGGACATATTTTTGTAAGTTTTTTAACTGATTTTTAATGTGAGTTAATTACTTAATTATTAATATTTTGCCCATTTTTCTTTTTTTTGTGGAATTATAGGACCTTGTATTAATCCATTATCTTACATATTGCTAATATTTTCACCTATCTCAACTGTCCTTTTGCTTTTATTGAATATCAATTGACATAACATTATATTAGTTTCAGACACATAGCATAATGATTTGACATTTGTATACATTGTGAGTGATTGCTGCAGTAAATCTATTTAACATCTGTCACCAAACATAGAAAAAATTTTTTTCTTGTAATGAGAACTTTTCAGAACTACTATCTTACTTTGAATTTTGTTTATGGTGTCTTTGCCATGTAGAAATTTGATACTTTTATGTTTTTGTTGTTTCCTTTTTGTCCTTTTATGTTTTGTCTCCTTTATGGTTTCTCTCTTTGGGTCCAGAGTGATTTTTTTTTTTTTTCGGAGTGACCATTTTTAAAACAAATTTGATCTGTTTAAAACAGATTTAAAAAGGGCTTCCCTGATAGCTTGGTTGGTAAAGAATCCACCTGCAATGCAGGAGACCCCAGTTCGATTTCTGAGTCGGAAAGATCCGCTGGAGAAGGAATAGGCTACCCACTCCAGTATTCTTGGGCTTCCCTTGTGGCTCAACTGGTAAAGAATCTTGCCTGCAATGCGGAGGGCCTGAGTTCAGTTGGATCCCTGGGTCTGTAAGATCCCCTGGAGGAGGGCATGGCAATGCAATCCATGGATAATTCCATGGACAGAGGAGCCTGGCAGGCTACATCCATAGGATTGCAAAGAGTCGGACAGTACTGGTGACTGAGCACGCACACACTGCTTAATTAAAGAAGCCCTTGGTTGCGTCTCATTGAGAGGTGGTGTATCATATAGTGCTTGAGGAAATAGAGTATGGGTGTTTTGCTAGGTTTGAAACCTGGTTTTGTCTCTTACTGTAGGACACTGGCAGGTAGACCTTGTTCTGAGCTTGTCTCCTCATGGTGGTTATGGTTGCCTTGCCCAGTTGTTGAGACTATTAAATGGCTTAGCGTGTGTAAGTGCCTTGGATAGTACCCACACATGGTAAATCCTCAGTAAGTATCATGGGTGTTATTGTTTCTCTTCCTGTCCAGTCTCCTCGTGTGCCACTCACCGGGTGGGCTCTGATGCTTCAGCCGCAGAGGCCTCCTCTCAGTCCCTCCCTGCCCTGGAGCCTCTGTGTGTGCTGCTCCCTGTGCCTGGACCACACTTCCTTTTCTGTCCTCTTTGACTCGCTGCAGGTTCCCCTTTGTTGTTCAGTCATTCAGTAGTGTTTGACTCTTTGCAATCCCATGGACTGCAGCACACCAGCAGGGTTCCCTGTCCTTCAGTATCTCCTGGAGCTTGCTCAAACTCATGTCCATTGAGTCAGTGATGCCATCCAACCATGTCATCCTCTGTCACCCCCTTCTCCTCCTACTCTTAATCTTTCCCACCATCATCAGAGTCTTTTGCAGTGAGTCTTTCTTCACATCAGGGGACCACAAGTATTGGAACTTCACTGGCAGTCCTTACAGTGAATATTCAGGAAATACTGATTTCCTTTAGAATTGACTGGTTTGGTTTCCTTGCTATCCAGGGGACTCTCAAGAGTCTTCTCCTGCACCACAGTTCAAAAGCATCGATTCTTTGGCGCTCAACCTTTAGTATCACCTTAAATATCCCCCTCACCGCCCCTGCCACCCCACCACCTCCAACCAGGGACCACGTCAGTGTCCTCTTAGTTTAGGTTAGGTCTGCCATTATGTTCTATTTTAGCACCCGCTGCTTTTCCTTCTTAGCACTTTAAATAATTGTTGTAAATTGTTAGCTTAAATTTTCTTTCTCCTGTTAAAAATAAGTGTCATGAATGCAGAAACTAAGTCTCTCTTGGTTACTTTACCTTTACCCCCTGGAAGAGTAGATGGTAATGAACTGGTGTTCCATAATATGGGGAGTGAATGAATTACAGGTGGAATGGTATGGTTTGAATGTTTTGGACTTGGAATTAAAAAGGAAGCTGAGAGAAGAAAGCTTGCTCAGAGGCTTTAAATGTCACTACCAAGTTTGTACTCAGTTGTTCCTATCTGAAAGTGTGAGTTTCAGTGCTTAAGTTATATGAAAGGACTTTGGATAACTGGCAGTTACCTCAAATGGGATATCCATAGTATTAACAGTTATTAAGACTTTCTCTATGCTCAGTAAGAAATTTAGTTTTAAAAGCTGAAAAGGATGTTACGCTCATTTTACAGATTTTAAAAATGGACATAATGTAGTTTGTATAAGATAGCATATTTGTCGTGGGTGGAGCTGGAGCTAGAATCTGTTTAAAAGGTTTTTATGAGAATCCATTACTGGGGATTGAATACAGATTCAGAATCTTGTTGACAGGTTCAGAGGTATTTGCTCTTGTAGGTAACCCAGGCAGCTGTGGCTGTTGAGTTCCTGTCCCACCCTCACGGTTTTCTGCGTTGTTGTCCTTGTGTCTGTTCACATTGTGCCTTCGGCAGCAGCTTCTTTCCTCTTTCTGCTCTATTAGGCATACGTAAGACAGTATCTGAGATTGTTTTGCATGTAAGTAAAGCAGGAATAAATAGATTCATCCATGTGCAGCATGGATGGGCCTCAAAACATGCTGACTGAAAGAAGCAAGATACAGGAAACCACATAGTGTATGATTCCATTCCTGTGACATGTCCAGAAGTGACAAAATCTCTAGAGACAGAAAGTTGATTAGTGGTTGCCTGAGGCTGGGGATGGAATGGGGAAGAACTGCAGGTGGGAAGGAAGTTCTTTTCCAGGGGGATAGAAATATTCTGAAATTGGATTATAGTGATGGTTACATAACTCTGTAAATTTACTAAAGATTATTGAATTGTACACTTAAAATGGAACATTTTGGCATGTGAGTTATATCCCAATAAAATTTTTTTTTAAGGAGAAATGAATTCAGAGCTTATTTTGGAAGAATTGTGCTTTCTTTCTAAATTGTAGACAAATATAGTTCATACTTTTTGGTTCTGCATAATATTCTAGATAAATGAAATGGGAAACTAGATAAAATAATACATTGTATCCTGAATCTTACTCACTAAGACAGAACTTTCAAAGCTAAACTCCTCCTCCACTCCCCAGAACTTGGTTAAGAATTGGAGTTTTCATGGATAGGCCTGCTCAGTATTATAATCTAAGTTGAAGGGATAGTGATTCATATATATATGTTTATTTGTTGTGGTTTTTAGATATCAAGATCTTAATAGCTTGCTGTCTCTGTCAACACACACACATGTCTTCCAAACTAGAAACGGTGTCAATTTTTGTCTAATTACATCTGTGCTGCCAGTGTGTTTTCATCTGCTGTTTCAACCCACCAGAGTGTTATGTTTTATGAATGAGTAAACAGGGGACTGCAGCCTGTTAATGTGTTTGTTCTTTTTGATTTTTCAGCACTTTCACTTGGACCCTTTGATGCCCATTGAACAGATGCTTGAGAGTTGCAAGTAATCTTCAGATTGTAGCATAACCATAAGGCCTGTCCTCTGTGTGGGGAGGAGATTACCCATGTGCTGTGGAAATGAACGGGGAGCAGCAGACTGATGCAGGTATTGGTTTTGCTGAGCAGAATCTGTTTTTCGGAGTGCAGAATTCCATTACTCTCCTATGTTACACTGTCAGGCTTATCTTTCTACCACTAAATGGGAAACTCTTTGAAGATATGAGTTACCTTTCTTTGTACCTGGCACTAGGGGTGCTCAGCCTACTTGCTGAAAAAGTAAATAACTGTTATGAGCAGACTTCGTTAAAAAAAAAAAGTTAGAAAAGCTTGCTTCAGAATAAAACCAAAAGATTTCTAAAAAAAAAAAAGTTAATTTGTTTTGAAGTAATTATTAATTCATAGGAGCTTGCAAAGATTCTGACAGTCTTCATGTACCCATCACCCAGCTTCTACTGTAAGTTACATCTCATTTAAGTATAGTGCAGTATAAAAGCTGGAAATTGATATATATATCAAATGTATGTATTTCTCTATGATTTGTGTAAATTCCTGTAACTGTCACTTCAGTCAAGATACAGAACTATTCTATCACCACCCAAAAGCTCCTTTTTACTGCCCCTTCACAGTTACACCGACTCCTCTTCCCCAGCATTCCCTAACCCCAGGTAACCATTAATCATTTCTTCATATCTATAATTTTGTCATTTCCAGAATGTTACATAAGTAGAACCACACAGTATGTGAGTTTCTGAGATGGGCTTTTTTTCACTCAAAATAATGCCCCTGAGATATCCATCCAGATTCTTGAATATATTAGGAATCTGTTCTCTTTTATTGCTTGGTAGTATTCTGTGGATATACTGCCGTTTGGTTACCCATTCATCTGTTGCAGTACATTTTGGTTGCTTCCAGCTTTTGGCTTTTATGAATAAAGCTGCTATGAATACTCATATACATAAGATTTCATTTTTCTGGGATAAATGCCCAGGAGCACAGCTACTTTCCAGAGTGGCTATACCATATACATTCTTTCCAGCAATGTATGAGATATGATTTCTTCACATCCTCCCAGCCATTTGGTATTGTCACTATTTTTACTTAAGTCGTGCTGATAAATTAACAGATCATCTTGGTCTTACTTTGCATTCCCCTAATGGCCAGTGATGCTGAACAGGTTCTTACTTGCCATCCCTATATCCTCTTCAGTACCATGTCATCGTATTTTTGGCTCATTTATCAGTCATTTTGTTTGTTTGCTTTTTAATTACAACTTTTTTGAAGTACTTTTTCTTGAGATACAATTCACATGCTATAAAATTTACCATTTGAAAATACACAATTCAGTGGATTTTAGTGTATTCACAAGCACTACTACCTAATTCCAGAACATTTTCATCACTCCTCAGAAGAAACCATTGGCAGTTATTTCTTGCTTAATCTAGCCTCTGGAGATCATGTCTACTTTCTGTCTCTATAGATTTTACCTATTCATACTCTTTTTTTATTAACATTTCCATGGTATATCCTTTTCATTCTTTCACTTTCAACCTCTGTGAATCATTATATTTGAAGTAACTTTCTTATCAAACCATGTAGTCATTAAAAATTTTTTTTTCAGTCTTGTAATTGGTGTGTGTGGACCATTTACACTTAATATAATCATTGATATGTTAAGACTCATGTGTGCCCTTTTTTTTTTAAACATCTGTGGTTTTGTTTGTTTTCTCTATTTTTTGTTCTGTTTCCTATCTTCCTGTGGGATCCTTGAAAATGTTTTTAGAATTTTGTTTTGATTTGTCTCTACAGTGTTCTTTTTTTTTTTTTTTTAAGATTTTGTTTGCTTGCGTCTCTGTTGCCGCGCAGGCTTTCTCTCATTGCGGCGTGCAGGGCTAGCCTCTCGTTGCTGCACTGGCTTGTCGCTGGCGAGGCTTCTCTTGTCGCATAGCACAGCCTTTAGGCACACAGGCTTTAGGAATTGCGGCTTGCGGGCTCTAAAGCACTGGGCCAGTAGTTGTGGCGCCCAGGCTTAGTTGCCCCATGGCATGTGGGATCTTCCTGGGGCAGGGATCGAACCTATATCCCCTGAGTTGGCAGGTAGGTTCTTAACCAATCAATCATCAAGGAAGCCCTATATACTGTTCTTGAGTGTATCTCTTTGTGTAGCTTTTTTAGTGGTTGCTCTAGGTATTATGTATATCTAACATATGCCACTCTGCTGATGTTATCGTTTTGTTAGAGTGAAGTGTAGAAATTTTACCTGCTTTTTATATCTCTTTACCTACTCTTATTTATAATAAAAATCTTGTCTTAAATATTTCTCTACATATTTTGAGAACCACATCAGATATTGTTAAAATTTGGGGGAACTTTCCTGGCTGGCCAGTGGTTAAGACTGCACTTCCAATGCAGGGTGTTGTATGTTCTATCCCTGGTCAGGGAACTAAGATCCCACACGCCTTGTGGTATGGCCAAAAAAAAAATTTTTTTTTTTTGTTTCAGCTGTCAAATATAATTTAGAAATTATATTTCTAAATTATAGAAATATAAGAAGGAAGATGTTAAGAGAAGAGAAAGAAGGAAGAGAAGAAGGAAAATGTTTCATAATAATGTTTTCCACTATTTTTATTTTTGTTCTTTATTCTTTCCTGATTTTCCAAGATTCCTTCTACTATCATTTCACTTCTGTTTATAGAATTTCCTTTAGCCATTTTTCTAGGGTAGGTCTGTTGGTGATAAAATTATTAGTTTCCATGTCTCTGGTCACTTCCCTTAGAAGGGGTATTGTTCTCTTGCTGCTTTCAAGATTTTTTGTCTTTCATTTTCAGCAGTTTGACTCTGTGTGTCTGTGTACAGTTTTCCTTGGGTTTATCTTGTTTGGAGTTTTCTCAGCTTCTTAAAACTGTAGGCTTTTTTGACAAATTTGAAATGTTTTCAGTCATTATTTCTTCTAGGACTTTTACTGCTCTGTTCTTTCTCTTTTGGGACCCTGAAGACACTTTTGTTAAATCTTTGTTATTGTTGCACAGTTTTGTGAGGCTCTTTTCATTTTTTTCTCTTTGTTGTTTAAATTGGGTGTTTTCTATTTCTCTTTAATTTTAGTAATTCTTTGTTCTCCCCATTCTGCTTATAGAGCTTATCTATGGAGGGGTTTGTTTTGTTTTTTATTTATTATATTTTCAGTTCTAAAATTTCTTTTTTTAGCTGAGGAGGAATGAAAGATGGGAATAGGTCCAACTTAAAGTGCCACAGTCCCACTCTTCTGACAGAGGTTCAATAACTTGTCTTGAATAGATGCTTTTCAGTTTTGTTTTTTTTTTGCCTTCAGTTACTTTCAGAACTTTGAAATAGTCAACTTTGATTGTTTAGCCAGTATTTTTGCTGCTTTTCTGAAAGACTAAGGTATTCACTTTGCTATTTAGGAAGTTGACTTGTTCTCTTTTGTTTTAAATGTTGTTGTTAACTCATACAGCATGTACATTGCATATATAATATATATATTACATGTAAGTTTGAATCCGTTGCTGTCATCATTCATTTGATGATCAAATTGTTCCATTCTCAAGCAGTGAGAGTTGTTTCAAATTGGTTCCTGTGTTCTTTGGATGAGATGTCATTATATCTCTGATAGCTTTAGTCCGTGCTTTCTGGCATAGTAAGATTCTGAGGTTCCTCCTGTACATTTCCTGCCCCAAGTTTTTGCAATCTGACATTTCTCTGAGAAGCTCTTTTTTTTTTTTAAGTGGATATGATATTTATAGTCTACAGCCCAGATGCTTGGGTGCTCATTGATAGCAGCTTGCCATTTCTTCTAGGTCTCATCCCTAAACATAGCTGGAAAATACACATCATTTTGTTTGTTTGTTTGATGCGCAGTGTGGGGGATCCTAGTTCTGTGACTAGGGATTGAACCCAAGCCCCCTGTGTTGGAAGGGTGGAGTCTCAAGCATTGGACTGCCAGCAAAGTCCCAAAATACACATCTTTTGAAGAGAAAAGAAAATGAGATGGCTTAATCTGATATTTATAATTTTATAAAATTATATAAATTTTATATAATTTTATAAAATTACAGGGATTTTCTTTTTTTGATTTTTTATTTTGTCTCTTTTCTTTTGAAAATGTGTTGTTTTGTAACCTTTAGTATCATCACTTATTTGTTTTTATCCTTATTTAAACTTGTTTAAATTGTTTTATCCTTATTTAAACTTATTTATTTATATAACATTCATATAATTTTCTCACAACAAGAATGCCAACATTCCAGATATCAATAGAGTAGTAGAGTAGTGTGTGATTTCTTTATTGTAAAAAAAAAAAAAAGATTTCTTTATTGTTTTGTTTTTAAATATATTCTACTCAGGTTTGCAGTCAGAATTTTGTATTTTAATAATGACTTAAAGGGATTCTGTTTTATTTGTGGCTTTTCCACCAACTATTAGGCATGTTTGTTTAAGTTCATTTTCAGTTTTTAGAATTTTTAAATATGTTTCTAAATCATGTAAAGGATATACATAATTATAAAATTATGTATTACATATTACATAAAAAAATTATAACAACATTCCCACTTTCAGGCTGATAGAATTCATGCTTTTTATTCTTCTCCATATATAAAGAAGTTTTATTACATTTTATCCTGTTGTTCATGTTTTAAAATGTAAAAAGATATATGTGAGCATTTACATATATATTCATATCTCTTTTACCTTATGCAAAAATTAGAGCTACAATAAAAACTGCTCTGTTTTGCTGTTTCACTTAATACGTACTGAGGTTATTCCACATCAGTATGTGGAAATCGTTCTCATTCCTTTTTACAGCTGTGTAATGCTGGATGTTGGAGAAGGAAATGGCAACCCACTCCAGTATTCTTGCCTGGAGAATCCCAGGGACAGAGGAGCCTGGTGGGCTGCTGTCTATGGGGTGGCACAGAGTCGGACACGACTGAAGCGACTTGGCAGCAGTAGCAGCAGCAATGCTGGATGTATATACTATATTTTATTCACCCAGTTCCTTACTGATGGACATTTGGATTACTTCCAGTCTTGGTATTACATATATAGTACTACAATGAATAGCCTTGTACATATGTCTTTTTGTATTTTTGCCAGCATATCTTTGGGATAGATTCCTAGAAGTGGAATTGCTGGATCAGAAGGTAAATACATATGTAATTTTGTTAGCTGTTGCCAACAAAAATACAACCCCTTTCACCAGGGTTGTATCATTATACTTTACCTGCCTAATTACTTGTCTCACCATGGAGTATGTTGTCAAACTTTTAGAATTTTTTCCAATCTGATATCTCAGTATAGTTTTCATTTGCATTCTTTTAAAATGAGTAAATTTGCAATCTTTCCATATGTTTAAGGACTATTTGCAATTAAAAAAAATAAATTCCCTTTTCATTTATTTTGCTCATTTTTTGTCAGATCGTTAATTAGTTTTGTTTTTTTCTAAGTTTTTAGGTAGTTTTTCTGCTGTATGGGAGATTTTAATCCTTTAATTCATTGCTTTTATTGCTCCTGTTGTTTATTTCTTTATTTTTTAACTAGCATGCTGCTTGAGGTGCTAGGGTTCTTGCCAAGGACCATGAATACGAATTGTCTAGCCTTGTTATGTTCTAGTGATGGAAGTTGGCTTTCTGTTGACTCATGCTTCCGGGATGCCCCCAATAAAGTCTTTATTGATTTGTTTTATATCTAGTGAAAAATTTCAAATACGTAGAAACGAATGGAAAACATATAAGGAATACTTCTGTACCTACCATACAGAATTAAAAATTAATAAATAATAAATTAACTTTGTCCAAATTTGTTTTCATTTTTTTAAATTGTGGTATATTATCCATAACATAAAATTTACCATTTTAACCATGTTTAGGTGTACTGTTCATTCACACTGTTGTGCAGCCATTAATACCACCATCTCCAAAACTTTTTTATCTTCCTGTTTTGGAACTCTGTACCCATTAAACACTAAGTGCACCTTCCCCTCTCCCCACCAGTCCTTGGAAACTCCCATTCTTCTTTCTGTCTCTATGAATTTGACTACTCTACTTCAAGTAAGCGGAAACATATAATATTTGATCTTTTGGGCTTGACTTATTTAGTGTAATGTTCTCATAGTTCATCTACATTTTGTAGCCTGTATCAGAATTTCCTTTCTTTTTGTGACTGAATAATATTCCATTGTATGCATATACCATATTTGTTTTATCCATTCATTTGTTGATGGGTACTTGGGTCAGTTACTTCAACCTTTTGGCTGTTGTGAATATTGCTACTCTAATCATTCATGTACAGATACCTGTTTGAGTCCCTGTTATCAATTCTTTTGGATATATACCCAGAAGTGAAATTGCTGGATCATATGGTAATTATATTTAAAATGTTTTGAGGAACCACCAAAAAATTTTCCACACTGACTATACCATTTTATATTCCAAGACCAGCAATGCACAAAGATTCCAATTTCTCATTTCCTTGACAACACTTATTTTCTGCTTTTTGATAATAGCCATCCTAATGAGTATGAGGTGATGCCTCTTTGTGGTTTTGATTTGCCTTTCCCTAGTGATGTTGAAGATCAGTCCTGGGTGTTCATTGGTAGGACTGCTGTTGAAGCTGAAACCCCAATACTTTAGCCACCTGATGTGAAGAGCTGGCTCATTTGAAAAGACCCTGATGCTGGGAAAGATTGAGGACAGGAGGAGAAGGGGACGACAGAGGATGAGATGGTTGCATGGCATCACTGACTCAGTGGACATGGGTTTGGGTGGACTCTGGGAGTTGGTGATGGACAGGGAAGCTGGCATGCTGCAGTTCATGGGGTTGCAAAGAGTCAGACACTACTGAGCGACTGAACTGAACTGAATGATGTTGAACACGTTTTCATGTGTTTCATTTTTTTAAATTAATAAAACATAATACAGTTTAAGTCTCTTTTACTTTTCTTCTAACCTTCTTTGCTTCCCTACATCCCCAAAGGTTATTGAAATGTGTGTATTTATAAACATTATATTGCAGAGTTTTGTTTTGAGGCTTAAATTATATCTTGTACTTTTTATTCTGCACTTGTTTTTTTTTTACTTGATATGATTTTTTTTCTTTTGAGATTTATATGTCAATCCGTTCATTCATTTCAGCTGCTATATAGTAGTGCTCCATTGTAGGATTGCCATAATTTATCTATTCTCCTACTGATTGCTTCTGTCTGTTGCTGTTAGAAACAGTGCTGTGGTAAGCATCCCTGTATTTGCTTGCCTCCTTGTATTTGTGTGAAGCATAGACTCCCCAAGGGTATACTCATTCAGCGACTGTTTATTGCAAACCTGGTAGTGTTAGGCATAATCTTAAACAGTGGAGATATATCAGTGAATAAAACCCTGCTTTTAAGCAGCTTATGTGAATTGGGGTTATTGGATCACAATGAAGTGTTTGAATCTTTGCTCACTCAACAAAAATGTGTTGAGTCTCTGCTATGACAGAAATAGAGGATTTTCCAAAACAACGTTCCTGTCTTCATAGTTGTTGTTGAGTGGGGAAGATAAAAAGACATAAGGTATACTTTGAGGTAGGAACGAATGCTTTGAAGATAATGAAAGCAGAGGCTGGGGGTTTCTACTTGAGATGTGCACTGATGGAAGGCCTTTCTGGTTGGTGGAAGGTCTTTCTGAAGAGGTGTTTGAGTAGAGATTGAATGAAGTAAAGCTGTGAATGACACAGGGGAATGAGCCTAAGCTGAGATAATAACTAACATAGAGGCTGTGAGAAGAGAACATGGTTAGAAAGTAAACAAACAAACAAACCTCAATGTTCCTCGAGTGCAGTGAGCAAGCAAGAGGCTGGTGGGGATGCTGTGGTAAGGTCAGGAGCTAGGAGTCAGATCATATACGGCTTTTGCAGTCTCCCAGAGATTTTAGGTTTTATTGTGTGATTAAAAGGTGAAAGATATTGTTGTTAGACCTTGCACTTAGAGCAGTAGAGATGGTGGAAAGTGATTAGATTTGGGGGTATTTTTAAAGATAGTACCTACAGAATTTTCTGATGGATTGAATGTAAGATGTGAAAGAAAGAGAAAAAGTAAGAATAACTCCACAGTTTTTGGATTGAGCCAAAATATCAGCCAATGGTATCTTTTACTCAATTTGAGGACCCTAAGGAAGAAGAGATTGAAAATTTAAGTTTGAAATGCCTATTAAGGATCTCAAATACTTGGCAGTTAGATACCAGATTACGGTCCAAAGTGATTATAATAGTTATACTTTCGCCAGCTTTATATGATCCATTTAGGTGAATCCCAAATGGATCCTAGCAGGAGATAGCATGTCACATTCTATGATGTTGAGATTCATTGATAATCAGTGTATTAAGTGGAAGTGAAAGTGTTAGTCGCTCAGTCATGTCCAACTCTTTAGGATCCCATGGACTGTAGTCCACCTGGCTCCTCTGTCCATGGAATTCTCCAGACAAGAATACCGGAGTGGGTAACCGTTCCCTTCCCCAGGGGATCTTCCCAACCTGGGGATCAAACCCTGGTCTCCAACATTGCAGGCAGATTCTTTACCATTTGAACCCCCAGGGGAGCCCCAATCAGTGCATTAAGGGAAACTGCTATTTAAAAAGAACACTTAGTTATCTTGGGTATAAAGTAAATTAACTTGTGAAGTAAGTTGTAAGTTAGGTTTACTAAGTTTGCATTTTTATATATTGAGTTTTCTTTCATTGGATCTTACCTGTTTTGTGTTGTTTTGTTTTAATTCCAGATGCTGGATCTGGAGTGGAGGAAGTGGAGTTAAGCTGGGAAGACTATCTGGAAGAGACAGGGTCCACAGCAGTTCCCTACGGGTCTTTTAAACATGTAAGTGGTGACTATATTGCTTGACTGCCTGATCCTTTTTCATTTAGAAAAAATGAAAATCTTTTTTCATTTGATCTTTTTTCCTTTGGAGTCCTTATTGTATGACTCAGTTTTGTTTTTTTTTTTTTTAATGACTCAGTTTTAAATTGCTGGTATGATACATCTTTGCCGTATCTGAGCTTGGTTCTAATATCTACTCTGTCTCTTCAAAATGTGTTTTTTGTCTTTCAGTAGCTCTGTAAGTTTTTGTTGAAAGCTGGATATATTAATAATATACCGAGTTTAAAAAAAAAAGTGAGTTTTCATTGTTTTCTGTTTATCCAGATAAAAGTTAGGCTGATTTTACTGTTTGTTTTAGCTATAGGTGTGAGAAGCTGAAAGGTACTTTGCTGTCATTTATTTTGCCTCACCTTTTGTACAGGAGCCCTCTTGATGTGGTGGTAAGGTATGAGGGGAGCAAAAGCATTCTCCAGTCCTGTGATTTGGTCTCAGTGTTTTAGTGATCCTGAGTTGTGCATATTCTTTCCCCTATTTTGGAGGCCAGAGGGGGCTGGAGTTGGGTATTTTCCTTACCATAGATCAGTAAGGTTCTGTTCACTGTAGTTGGTTAGGACCTAGTAAAACAGTTATTCTTGAGGATTAGTCTTGTTAAGAAGAACAGAACACTTTGGATGTATTTCACGATGCTGCTTTCTTCTTTCCCGTATTGCAGGCAGATTCTTTAGCCACCAGGGAAACCCAATTTTTATTGTAACTTGTCGCAAAGAATTTTCTAATTTCCTTTGTGATTTCTTCTTTGATCTATTGGTTAACAGTGTGTTTAATGTCCACATATTTGTGAATTTTTTAGTTTTCCTTGTGTTACTGAGTTCAAGTTTTATTCCATTGTGATCAGAAAAGGTACTTTGTTTGATTTTTTTTTTTCATTTATTTTTATTAGTTGGAGGCTAATTACTTTACATCATTGCTGTGGTTTTTGTCATACATTGAAATGAATTAGCCATGGATTTACATGTATTCCCCATCCCGGTCCCCCCTCCCACCTCCCTTTCCACCCGATCCCTCTGGGTCTTCCCAGTGCACCAGGCCCGAGCACTTGTCTCATGCACCCAACCTGGGCTGGTGATCTGTTTCACCCTAGATAATATACGTGTTTCGATGCTGTTCTCTTGAAACATCCCACCCTCGCCTTCTCCCAGAGTCCACAAGTCTGTTCTATACATCGGAGTCTCTTTTTCTGTTTTGCATATAGGGTTATCGTTACCATCTTTCTAAATTCCATATATATGTGTTAGTATACTGTAATGGTCTTTATCTTTCTGGCTTACTTCGCTCTGTATAATGGGCTCCAGTTTCATCCATCTCATTAGAACTGATTCAAATGAATTCTTTTTAATGGCTGAGTAATATTCCATGGTGTATATGTACCACAGCTTCCTCATCCATTCGTCTGCTGATGGGCATCTAGGTTGCTTCCACTTCGTTTGATTTTTTTATTTTTCTCCTAACATTATGGTCAATCCTGGAGAATGTTCCATGTTCATTTGAGAGGAGTGTGTATTCTCTTGTTGCTGAGTAGTCTCTTTATGTCTATTAGGTCTCGTTGATTTATAATCTTAAGTCTTCTGTTCCTTTCTGTCTGGTCATTTGATCCTATGTTAATTGTAGGGTACTGGTTTGTTTAGAGATCAGCACAACCTTGATACCAAACCTAATAATTCAAGAAGAGAAAATTACAGAGATGGGTCACTTATAATGACTGATGCAAAAATAGCTTCATACAAAGTAATACCAAACTGAATGTAGCTATATTTAAAAAGGATAATACATTAATAACAAGTCGATTTTTTCCAGGAATGCAGGATGGCTTAACATTTGAAAATAAACCAGCATAATTCACTATAGTACTAGAGTAAAGGAGAAAATTTTTACTATTATCTCAATAAATAAGAAAATTATTGATAAAATTCCATATCCGCTTATGATCTTAGCAATCTATAGATGAGAATTTCCTTAATTTGATGATGTATATATATACAAAATCTACAGAAAACTATTAATAGTAATATGATCCATATTTCTTTTTATTATGGAATAAGATAAAAATTATGCTGGTTAGCATGATCCCTATTTGATAATTGTATTGGAGGATCTAACCAATACAATAAGGTAAGAATAACAATTAAAATGTTGAAAAATTGAGAAGGAAGGGGAAAATAATCATTATTTACAGATGAATAAAATAATGTGCAACTCTATTATTAGAATTAGTGAGTAATTTTTGCAAGATTTTTTAATACAAGATAGATATTAAAAAACTATTATATTTCTATATACTAGTAACAGACAAAAATGGAAACTGAAAGATGTGGTTTACAATAACATAAAAAACATCAAATAAATGTAAGATATTTGCAAAGAGACACAAGTCTTTATTGAAATAAGTTAAAATGAAGGAATATGCCTTGTTCATATAATGGAAGACTCATTATTGTAAAGATGTCAGTTTTTCTCAAACAGATCTGTAGATTTACTGCAACTCAAATCAAACACCAAAAAAAATTAGTTAGAAATTGACAAGCTGATTCAAATAAGTAAAACCTGGCCTCAACCTAATACCACAGATAGAGATTAACTCAGGGTTGATATTAGTTCTCCATATGAAAGGCTTCTAGAAAATAATATAGTAGTAATGACCTCTAGGGATAGGAAGAATTTGTTTAAAAATACAGAAAATTAACCTTTTAAAGGAAAAGTATTGATGGATCAGAGTATATTGCAATTAATAACTTCTGTTTATTAGACAACACCATCAAGAAAATGATATTTGTAATACAAGTAATTAGCAAACTGATACCTGGAATGTTGACTAAAAAGTTGGCAAAAAATTTAGGCATTCCCCAGAAGAAGAAATCCTAAGTGGCTAGTAAAATATAAACATTCTCAACTCTATTAATAATAATACAAATTAAAATCACCATGAGATAATACATGCTTCAAGATGGTTAAAATGAAAAAGGCTGAAAATACAGTAATATATGTTGGAATGTTAGAGCAAGAAGATTTCTTGTACACTATTGGGAGAGTACATTGGTGCAGCCACTTTGGGAAACAGCTTGGCCATATCTTTTTTTTTTTCATTTATTTTTATTAGTTGGAGGCTAATTACTTTACAATATTGTAGTGGTTTTTGTCATACATTGACATGAATTAGCCATGGATATATCTTTTTATTTTAAGAACTCATGTAGGTATGCAAGTGACACACGGATTTATTCTTATAATCATGACAGTGTTATTAATAGTCTTCCAAAACTGTGAACTATCCAGAGTGTCTTCTCCTAGAAGAATTAGAATGGATAAATTATGGCAAATGTGTATAATGGAACACTATACAAGAGTGAAAAGAGATCAAGTACTGTTATGTGCAACAGCACAAATGAATCACATAAGCAGTGTTGGGCAAGAGAAGCATTCATACTGCATAATTTTGCCCACATAGTGCTGAAACACAGGCAGTGTTAGACTGTAGTGTTATAATTTAAGATAGTGATTACCTTTCAGGAGTATAGCAGGTTAGTGATTAGAATAAAAAGGAAGTTTTACACAGGATGCATGCTTTCCCTGTCTGGCTTCTCCTTTTCAGAAGCCCCCTCACTTCCCAGTGGTTATGATGGCCACACTGTACTTAGTTGTTGTGTTTCCATGGTCTCCTCCAATGCATAACAGTTCCTCATTCTGTCTTTCATGGTGTGGATACTTTTGAAGTGCAAATCATATACCAGTTATTAGGTTGGTACAAAAATAATTGCAGTCTTTCATTGTTGAACTTCGCTGTTTGATATCAGAATACATTCTTTTATAAATGTGGTTATGTTATACATCATTTTAATACACATTTCTTACTTTATATCTTTTTGCTAGTGACTTACTGCTTGCTGTTTATTTTGTATTTATTTTAAACTAGGGAAATGATGTTAGATGAAAGGCAGATTCGAGCAATTTTCTTACTTAAGTTCAAAATGGGTCATAAAGCAGCGGAGACAACTCACACCAACGCATTTGGCCCAGAAACTGTTAACGAACGTATACTTCAGCAGTGGTCCAAGAGGTTTTGCAAAGGAGGTGGGAGCCTTGAAGAGGAGGAGCTTTGAGCCCCTGTGCCCCTTAGTGACTGGCCGTCGGAAGCTGACGGCGACCAACTGAAAGGACCGTCAAGGCTCATCCTCTTAAGACTACGCGAGAAGCTGCTGAAGACTTCAGCGTTGACCGTTCTATATTCGTTTGGCGTTTGAAGCAAATTGGAAAGGTGAAAAAGCTTGATAAGTGGGTACCTCATGAGATGACCACAAATCAAAATACCGTCGCTTTGAAGTGTCGTCTTCTTTTATTTTATGCAACAGTGAACCACTTCTTGATTGGATTGTGACGTGTGATGAAAAATGGATTTTATATGACAACCGGTGATGACCCACTCATTCAGTGACTGGACTGAGAAGAAACTCCATAGCACTTCCCGAAGCCAACCTTGCACCCAAGAAAGGTGATGGTCACTGTTTGGCTGCCTGTCTGATCATTACAGCTTTCTGAATCCTGGCAGAACCATTACATCTGAGAAGTATGCTCAGCCAGTCGATGAGATGCACTGAAAACTCGCAAGAGCCGGACATGACTGAGCAGCTGAACCAAACTGTACTGAAAACTGCAATGCTTGCAACTGGCATCAGTCAACAGAATGGGCCCAGTTCTCCTCCACAACACCTGACCACACGTCACACAACCAACACTTCAAAAGTTGAACAAATTGGGCTATAAAGATTTTGCCTCATTTGCCATATTCACCTGACCTCTTGCCAACTGACTACCACTTCCTGAAACATCTTGACAACTTTTTGCAGGGAAAATGCTTCCACAACCAGCAGGAGGCAGAAAATGCTTTCTAAGAGTTTGTTGAATCCCAAAGCATGGATTTTTATGCTACAGGCATAAGCAAAATTATTTCTCATTGGCAAAAATTTGTTGATTACCATGATTCCTGTTGTGATTAATAAAGGTGTATTTGAACCTAGTTATAATGATTTAAAATTCACGGTCAAAAAGCACAATTACTTTTTCACCAGCCTAAATGTTTTAGGTTTCTTAGTTGGGCTTTGGTTTTTCTTGTGATTAGCTTGAATTTATGCATTTTGGTTTATGCACTTCTTTATCCCACAGTAAGAAACTTGGCTCTCATTATTTAATATATACGTACAGGATTTCCAGAATTGCAGACTGCAATGTTTGTGACTATATAACTTGTCATTTAAATTAGTGCACTTTTGAGAGAGATAGGAGGCATTATTAGAATTATTCAAGGATAACAGGTATAAACACAGACTGTTTTAGGGTAACTGGGAAATATGGCTCCCTCTGTATGGTACATATTATACATATTTATTATCGATATAACTTCTGTTTATCCTTTACTTTTTCTAACTTCATAAATTTTCTTTTGAATGATTGAGAAGTCACTCTTGAAATCTTAATGTGTTGAAGGTTGTTAAAATGGTGAACATTCAGTGGTCTGTATATTTAATAGAAAGCATAGTCTATAATCATGATAGACAGCTTTCATGGAATATTGAGTTCTCTTAAACCTCCTTCAGGGTCGATGGAACAGAGCAGCATTGCTAGTCCCTGTTTTGTTTGGATCACTCCTATAAGTTAGAATTGAAATTTCTCAGATTTCCCTTGAGAAGATTTTATTGCATTTAGTGCTTCAGAATGGTACATCTTAAAGAATGTCGACCAAAGAAGCACTCATTTGAGATGTTTTTCTGGTGGTTAATCACATTTCCATGTTCAGGTGGACACACGTTTGCAAAATGGATTTGCTCCTGGGATGAAACTGGAGGTGGCTGTGAAAGCTGATCCTGAAACCTACTGGGTTGCCACCATCATTACCACCTGCGAGCAGCTGCTCCTCCTCCGCTACGATGGCTATGGGGAGGATCGCAGAGCAGACTTCTGGTGTGACATCAGGAAGGCTGACCTCTACCCCATTGGGTGGTGTGAGCAGAATAAGAAGACCCTCGAAGCCCCAGAAGGTAATGGTGATACGTCATATCAAGATGTGATGTGGTATTGATGTAGGGAAATTTGGGCTGTCCACAGTCTTAAGATTTTCACATCTCCTAAGCACAGTAATCTTCCTAACTTCTTTGGGTTAGTATTTTGAATGAGAATATAAGGATTAATATACATTTCCATTAAAAAAATTATTTTCTGTGCTCCTTATAAGCCTCAGTCTTTTGTGACATTCATAGGGAGCATCAGTTGTTTATCATCCTATGGGTGTGTGAGGCTCTCTGAGTTTAAGACTTGTAGGTCTGGCTGTCTTAGAGTACATTGGGCCAGCTTGTTTCTCTTCCTGATTTTATTGTCCTCCCTCCTATTACCTACAGGTGATCTGGGACCTGTGAGCTTTTAAAATAAACCAGCTGAAGCTCCCTTCCAGGAAAGAGCCCTGCTGGGAGTAGAATCCAAATTAAGCAGGACAGAGACAATAGGACAAAAGATAGAGAAGGGTCATATAAACATGGAAAAGGGATGCCTTCAGAGAATTCTAGACCTTATATGCTTTTCTTCCAGCTCCTTATTTTGTTATATTGGTAATTTTAGATTTACAGAAATACTTCATATTTGCAAAAATATAGAAAATTCTTGGGGCCTTATTGCCAGTTTTCCCCAGATGTTGGCATTGTCCCACATTTACTTTATCCTCCTTTCCTCCCTGTCTTTGTCTCTCTCTTTTCTCTCTCTCTCACACACACACACCACACACACACACACACACGCACGTGCATCTTTTTAATGAACCATTGAGAGTCACTTGTAGACATGATGCCCTTTTTATTTATTTTTTTGCTTTTTTACTCACTTTTTTTGCTTTTTTACTCTTATGAGAATAATATGAGAATATACCTCTAAAAACAGGGACATTGATGAACACAGTAAAATAATAAAATCAGGAAATTAGCTTTGATATAATACTGTTATTTAATATATAGAGCTTGTTCAGTTTTTATCAATAGTGTTTTTATAGTAAGATGTTTCTATAGTAAAAGAAAATCCCAAGTCATTTGTTGCATTCATTTATTGTGTCTCCTAAGATTCCTTTAATCTGGGACAGTTCCTCAGTCTTTTATCTTCCGTGACTTTGACATCATTGAAAGTAACAGGCCAGTTTTCCCACTAATGTTCATTATGTCTTGGATTCAATACATTCATTATTCCCCATGTCTTTTCCTTGTCCAAGATTTCAGTATATTTGGCTATCATCTTTTTAGTTTCCTTAACGTTTCTTTGTCTTCCTTGATGTTGACATTTTTGAGGAGTATAGGCCGATTATTTTTTAGCATGTCTCACAATTTGGGTTTGTCTGATGTTTACTTACATTCAGACTGTGGACATTTGGTAGGAAAAAATGCAGAAGTAATGCCATGTCCTCCTGGTGCATCGTGTTAGGAGACAACATGCTATTGGTTTGTCCAGTAACTAACTTGTGATACTAACTTTCATCACCTATGTTGGTATATGCCAAATTTTTCCACTGTAAAATTACTTTTACTGTTTTTAATTAGTAAGTATCTTGTGGGAAGATACCTTGAAGTTATGTAACTATCTCATTACTCTTCAAACATCACCCACTATTTTTGGCATCCACTGGTAATTTTTATCTGAAACAGTTATTACTCTAATGCTTAGCAAATGGTTTTTTCTAATTCCTTCTACATTTCATAATTGGCTTTCTGCTACAGAAAGGGCTTTCCCTTTTCTCCTATGTACACACACACATTTGTGTATGCATCTGTATTTATGTATGTATGTCAGTGTAGACTCATGAGTCTTATTCAGTGCATTACAATCCTTGCTGTCATTATTTATTTTGATGATCACACTGTCCTAGATATGGCCAGTGGACACCTCTTCAAGCTGGCAGATGTGTCCCTTGCTGTGTTCCCATTATTCTTTGAGTAGTTTCTTGTTCAGGAAACTTTTCCCTGCCTCAACCCTGAAACTAGTCATTTCTCTAGGAAACCCTGGTGGGTTTTTTTTTTTTTTCTTTTTGTATTTGGAAGGATGATATTTACAAATGAAGATCTGAGTCCTGGGGTTTTGGTGGGCTTCTAGCTGATCATTAACATTCTGTGAAAAAAACAATGTAAAAGAAAGTCATGGAGACATGAAATTACCTGGCCCACTATCTCAAGAGTATAGCAAAATTCACCTCATTAAACATGAACAACAGGAAATGATTTCTGTCAAGTCTCATACAAGGTCACGTTATTATAATTAAAAAAAAAAAAAGGCGAAAAGGAAGAATAAAATCCTTCCATAGAAACATAATCACAAAAAAAGGTGAACATTGTCAGACAAAAACATTTCAAAACAGGATAAAAGAAAATAGTAATTATGATAGAGCAGTGAGAAAAACCATAAGTAAAATTTATAAAAAATAGAAAATCACCTGACTGGAAAAAAGGAAGATTTGAAAAAAGAATAGAAGTTAGACAAGAACTAGAAGTTTAAAAATACTTGAAATGAAGAGTAAGATGAAAACAGGAGTGAATGAACCAAGAGTAATAACTGAACAGAAAGAGAAGATGAAAAAGAAGTAAAAATTTTAATTAAAATAAAAGAAATAAAAAGGACTTGGAAAAAATAATATAGGTTGGCAAAAATAGACGTCCCTGAAGATAAGAACCAAAGCAATGAAATAATAAAATACTGTAAACTAAAATTTAAGAAAACTTTATGGAAATCAAATAGGACCTAAAAATACATATTGAAAGGGTTCACTGTGTACATGGAGAAGTCAAATGAGAACAGGTGTGTATTAAACTCTAAAGCAGAAATGGATCCCTTGGTTTTTTAGGCAAAAAACATTTAAGTTTCTTGAAAAGTTAAGAAGACAAGATTGTCACCAGACTAATTGACAACATGCTTTATGCCAAAAGATGACAGGGTAACATATGTAAGAAATTCAGTAAAAGAATATACAAGGCCAGGATTTTATGTTTAGCCAAACTGAGCTTCAGGTGTAAAGGCCGCATGTTAGGAATATGTAAAGACCCAGGGAATATTGTTCCCATGAGCCCTTCCAAAGAAATCCACTAGAGAATGAGCCGCAGAAAATCAAACAAATGAAGAAATGTTAGTGTGACAATGGTTAGTGAAACCCTAAATGTATATATGGCTGTAGAACTTAAATCTAAAAGATGGTTATAAGAGAGACAGTATACTATGTAATTGTACATGCTTTGACAACATAAATACAGTATAGCTATTAAAAATATGAGAGCACAGTAGAAAGAACAGGTGAATAGTGGTATAAACTTGTTCATCCTCCCTCCCCGTTTTAAGACAGGGTTATTGCCTAATAATTTAACTGATTACCTTTCGTGTATTAACTGGGAATAAAAGGCTGTTATGTGAAATGAGATCCTGAAAGAGAGAAGAAAGGAGGTTATTGCTAACTTTTAATGTTTGCTAAAAAAAAAGAAATAGAAAATAGTCTAAAATTAGAGAGGACTAGAATTGTTACATAAAGATATTAGTATAAAGATAACCAGAAGGAAAAAAGAACCACAAACTTTTCTCAGTGCCAAAAGATAGATTTTAAAAAGAAGCATATATTTAAATAAAATATATCACATAGTGAAAGACAATATACCCACACAGGTAATTTATGTAATATTAATAAGACAGCATTGAGGCCATATCTTTGATGATGTAATAAATTGTGTTTATAAATAAATTATATGTAAATTAATGGGCTTGCTCTTCTGTTAAAAGTAAACAATTCAGGTTGGCTCACAAAGTAAAACCCACTTCTGTGCTATTACAGGAAACATACGTAAATGGAGATATTCTGAAAGAATAAACAGAAAAGGATGGACAAAGATACATAGACCAGGTGCAAATAGAAAAGAAAGCAGGAGTCTCAGTCTTGATATCTGACAAAGGTGGAATTCAGATCAGAAAGCACTGTAAGAGACAAAGAAGGGTATTTTATTGTTGTTTTTTAATTGAAGTATAGTTGATTTACAATGTTGTGTTGGTTTCAAGTGTTCAGCAGAGTGATTCAGTTATACATAAACATATTATATAAATTATTTTTAGGTTCTTTTCCATATAGGTTACTGCAAGATATTGAATGTAGTTCCCTGTGCTATACAGTGGGTCCTCGTTTCTCCGTTTTGTTTGTGCTAATGTATATCTGTTAATCTCAAACTCCTAATTTACCCCTCTCCCTCCCCTTTGATAACCATAAATTTGTTTTCTATGTCTGAGTCTATTTCTGTTTTGTAAATAAGTTCATTTGTATCAATTTTTTAGATTCCACATAAAAGTGATATCATATGATATTTGTCTTTGACTTATGTCACTTAGTATGATAATCTCTTGGTCCATCCATGTCGCTACAGATGGCATTATTTCATTCTTTGTTATGACTGAGCAATATTCTGTTTTGTGCGTGTAACAATATATATCACCTTTCCAAAGAAGACTACTTTATAGTGACAGAAGGTATAGTCACTAAAAAAAAGAAACAGAGTCCATCTATGTACATCAAAGGAACGGTCTCCAGATACCTTGTTACATGAATAAAGAAAACTCTGTATTGAATGAGGGAGGAGGAAGGTGTATGAATGTGTGTGTGAATTTCATTTTTTGAAAATGAAACAATGGTTGAATAGCAGTAAGGAACACAACTATTTTAAAAAGTTACCTATGGGAAAAGGAGGGAATAGGATGAAGGGAACAAGGATAAAAGCCAGATTTTCTGAATGTACCTTACTTTCTAGATTTGAATTTTGAACCATGTCAATATTCTGTATAACTTGTGGAAAAAAAAAAGTTAAAAAAATGCAAAAGCAAATAAATCTGTGTTTGGGGCTTGTGAATTAACTACCCAAAATAGAAAAACTATTTCAATGATTTTCAAATGCAGTAATTTAGATGTATGTTCCTGTGGGGAAAGTTACCTGTGGGGAAAGAAGGAAATAGGATGAAGGGAACAAAGATAAAAGGCAGTTGTTGAAACTACTGCACATGGGGATTCATTATATTATTTTCTCTGCCTTTCAGTATGTTTGAAAATTTCCACAATAAAAAAATAAAGTAGCTTATTTTGGGATAACATTGTACTTACAGTGATCCTTACTGTGAGTTGGGCCTGTTCTCTTTGTTTTGGATACAACTCATTAAACTAACCAGGAAGTAACTCTTATCTACAGGAGGATTATTTCTAAGCTCTCAAAGAATCAATATGTTGGGCTCTTGCATATTAAAATGATAAATGCACCTCTAAACCATTTTCACAGAGTTAGTTTTTCTGTATTCTGTGTGGTTTACTTTCTTTGTGTTTTGTGGCTGACAGTATGATTCCGTCATCTAGGCATCAGAGATAAAGTGTCTGACTGGGATGAGTTTCTACGGCAGACCCTGACGGGAGCATGTAGTCCTCCTGTTCCGCTGCTAGAGGGCGTGAGTATTATTGCTTCCAGAATCAGGGTGGAAAACTTCCAATCTTCCTGTCCAGGGAATCTTAAAATGACTTGCTCATTTACCACTGAGTCAGATCAGCGTTACTACTACAGACCCAGGCGTAGGTCTTACGGGGTGTAGACTTACCTCAGAGATTGTAAACTGGAGGCTTGCTCAGAGCCTAGAATGTTTTTGAATTAGTTGGAAACACATAAAACTCTATAGTTTTCCAGATTCTTTCACGCAGCTTGGAAATATGGCCTTTTTGAGCTCTCACTTGGAACTGAGCCGGGGTTGACTCTTTCAGTGTGGACATGTGTAACTCCTGCACCAGGTGACTTGAGAGACCCCTTTTCTTTTTCTCAGAAGACCCTGGATCACTACCTACCTGCTTTTAGCAGTTCTTTTAAATTAGTGTAGCTTTTGAACTTTTTGGTGAATATAGATTTCTTATTTTTGTGAAATAAATTTATTGGTTATGATGTTTCTAATTTACATTTTGTCTCTTTCTGTTATACCAGCAACATTGTAGCATATGTGAAATGCGGTTTATGAAGGTTCCAATGTCTTTACATCCTTACCAACACCTGTTGTTCTGTTTTTGGCTATAGCTCTCCTATTGTGTGTAAAGTGGCTTCTCACTTTGAGTTGCATTTCTCTAATGACTAATAATACTGAAAATCTTTCTATGTACTTCTTTTTTGGAGAAATACCTGCTCATTTTAAAATTGGGCTATTTATCTTTTTATTATTGGCTTGTAAGGGTTCCTTATAAATTCAGATTACAAGTCTAGATCAAGATAATATTTTATCCAGTTTTGTAGATTGTTTTTTCACTTTCTTGATATTGTTTGTAGAACAAACGTTTATTTCAATGTAGTCCAACTTACCTTTTTTTCTCTTTTGTCTTAATCTAAGAAGGCTTTGCTTAACTCAGGGTCATAAAGGTTTGCTCCTATATTCTAAATGTTTTATAGTTTTAACTCATATATTTGATTCTGTGATCCATTCACAATTCCCCTTTAAAGCTTCAGTGTCGAATTTGTTTCTAGGTGATTTTTAAATATCTTATACACACATACCTTGATTTATTGTGCTTCACTTGACTGTGCTTTGCAGATACTGCAGTTTTTACAAATTGAAGCTCTGTGGCAACCCTGCTTTGAGCAAGTCTGTTGGCACTGTTTTTCCAGCAGTGTTTGCTTACTTTATGTTTCTGTGTTACATTTTGGTAATTCTCACAATGTTTCAAACTTTTTCATTATTATTATATTTGTATGATCTCTGATCAGTGATCTTTGATGTATCTATTGTATTAACTTTTTGTTCTGTATTTTTAAATTAAAGTTTATGCATTGTTTTTTTAGACATAACGCTGTTGCACATTTAATAGATTATACTATAGTACAAGCTTAATTTTTATATACACCGGGAAGCCAAAAAATTAGCATGGTTCACTTTATTTCTATATACTTTATTGCTGTAGTCTGGAACGAAACCTGCAATATCTCAGAGGTGTGCCTTTACTCTGACACATTTAATTATGTTTAGTCAGGTCTGGCTCACCACTCAGTAACATATGAACAAATACATTGACTTTGATTCTGCCATTTTTATCTTTAGTTGTGGATGTGTGCCTTTATTTGTTCATGTGTTCTTTTCCATATTTATAAATATGTAATTGTCATAGAACAGTTCTTATTAGGAAAAAATGTAAGTTTGAACATTAAATGATGATACTGAAGTCAGCCTTTTTTCTTTCTTTTTTCTAGTTTTTAATAGTATATCTATAGAGTGAGAATTAGACTTTTCCTTTGCTTGAGTGTATTCAAAACACTTTATTATTCGTAAGAGCATTGTTGTGAAATGAGTAAAACATCAGAAATAACTGAAATCCCATCAGTATATAAGTGGATAAACTACTGCCTAAGTATAATAGAGGATATCAATAAAGCAGATTAAAAGGATGAGGGAGATTTGTATGTGCTGTAATAGAAAGATAGCTATAAAATATTAAGTGACACAAACACACTGAAAAACAATATACATTTTAAAAAAAATACAAGCGAGAGAAAAAGATAAGACATGGATGGATGTCGACTTGGGTGTGAAAAACCTATTCTCAGAGAGTGTTTGCCAAAGCATTTATCATGTTCTTTCCTGGAGGTGTGTTGTGGGCGATTTTGACTTTTGTCATGTTTGATTTTTTTTTTTTTAAATGATGATCATTCTTGGCTTTTACAAAGACTAAGTGATGATGATATTTTAAAAATTCTTTCTAGATGAAACTCTTTAGCATAGTCCTGGAGATAGAAATCTTTTAGAATAGTTCTGTTGCTTTACAGTAAATTTTCTTTAAGGTAGACATTTTCACATCACCAGAAATAATGCTATACAGACTTGTCTAATATTAGACAGTGCAGTGTCCTGGCTTTGAATGGATAAAAATATAAAAGCTAGTTTGAGTTCATTTAAAACTTGACTTTTAAAAATGTTATATTACCTCTCATAAAAAATCATTTTGCTTTTTTACCTATAGCTCCGTAACGGGAGGAATCCTTTAGATCTCATTGCTCCAGGTTCCAGGCTGGAATGTCAGGCTTTCCAGGACTCTTTAAGTACCTGGATTGTTACTGTGGTGGACAACATCGGGGGAAGGCTGAGACTGCGCTATGAAGGCCTTGAGGGCTCTGCTAATTGTGAGCATTGGTTGTATTACTTGGATCCGTTTCTTCATCACGTTGGCTGGGCTGCTCAACAAGGGTACGAGCTCCAACCCCCATCAGGTGAGGAGCAATGCAGCATTTTTCTTTTAATATTGCATTATTGTTTATAATATTTAGTCATATTTATTGTTTATTAATATCAGTGAGACTGAAAAATACATTATTCTGCATATTACAAAAGCTTTTGTTGATTTGCATAATAGAAATAATTGCAAATGTATATGAAATAGGTAAATGCCTTTTTTTTGGAGGGGGGAGCTTTGTTGCCTTAGTAATTTGCCACACATACTGATACACCTTCTGCCCCAGCTCTGCTGACTGCTGCCCCAAGTCATACTGACCCCTTACCAAAACTGAAGAAAAAGTTCTCTAAGTAGCATTCAGATAGATACAGGAGTAGGACAGGTCTTGTGTTCAGAGAGGATTACTGATTAAAAGATTATTCCAGTTTAAAAAAATAAAAAACTTTTAAAAAGATACTGAAATAGGAGTTAATACTGAAATCACTCGCACTCATTATTATGTACCGCAGTTTGGATGTTGTATTATTTTGTGGACCAGAGTAATCCTTGTGGTCTCATGATAGGTGTTTTTACTCAACTACCACCCAGGTTCTGAACAGAGGACACAAGGTATTGAAGTTTAAGTAGGAGTTCTCTGAGTAAAGATGGTGTAAGTGGGCTTGAACCCCTACCTTTTCCCGGGGGAAAGTGACTTTTTTGTTTATGTGAATGCTTTCAGAGCAGTTACAAAATGTGTAAGTTCTCACATCACTTAAAGCGTCCTGTTTTGTTTCAACTAAAGCCATCAGACATCTGAAAACTGAAGCTGAGTGGCAAGAGGTCTTGGCCAAAGTGAAAGAGGAGGAAGCGCCGTTGCCATCTTACTTGTTCAAGGTAAGAGCAGAAGCGCGGCAGATAGGGGCTTGTCTTCTCACAGCGGAGCACAGCAGTGTGGGGCTGCGGGCGTGAAACAACCCCCGGTGTCAGCGAGGGCGCTGTGGCGGCTGAGGGAGACGAAGAGGCTTCAAGGCTGCAGTGGTGATCATCCTTCCTTTTTTCCTGAGGGTGGTCTAGGTTTTCTCCCAAATGCTCTTAAAGCATTCTGAGTCTTTTCTCTTCTGCTTTTAACTAGGTAGCCCTGACTTGTATTAAAGTAAGCTTGTTTTTTTCTGTGGATGGTCCTTGTGTTCCAAATGTAGGGAGTAGGAGTGCTTGCTCCTTTTTTTTCTTTTTTTCCTGAGTAGTTTTTTCTAGGCAGGGAAGATAATTACAGGACTAGATTATTTAATATAAGACGGACAGTTTCATTATTTTAATTAAGAGTAGTTTTCAGGACTTCCCTGGTGATGCAGTGGATAAGAATCCACCTGCCAGTGCAGGAGATGTGGGTTCGATCCCTGTTCTGGAAACATACCATGTGCCATGGAGCAACCAAGCCTGTGCGCCGCAAGTACTGAGCCTGTAGTCTAGACCCAGGAGCCACAGCTGCTGAGCCTGCATCTTAGAGCTACTGAGGCCCGTGTTCCTAGAGCCTGTGCGCTGTAACAAGGGAAGTTACCACAATGAGAAGCCCACACACCACAGCAGGGAGTAGCCCCCACTCACCGCAACTGGAGAAAGCCCGTGTGCAGCAACAAAGGCCCAGTACAACCAAAAGCAAACAGATAAAAAATTTTAAAAATGAGTAGTGCTCAACTATATGTTAGCGTAAAATTAATGTGAAAATACTATATTTTATTTCCTCTTGGCCTTTGTATTTCAGGACAAGCGAGTGATTGGCACTCATTCTTTCTCTGTAAATATGAAATTAGAAGCTGTGGACCCCTCGTCTCCTTTTGGCATCTCTCCTGCTACAGTTGTTAAGGTAAAATGGAGTCAACTATCTTGGTAAGAATTCTTGTCAGGGTGGCTGTTTTAGGAAATTGGTGGTGTTTTGATCGTCAGACTCCGCTAATCCAACCCATTGTTTCTCCTAAGCTGCGAGGTTAGAATTAGTTCTGTGCACATCTTACGTTTATAATGTCCAGCTCTTTGTGGCACGTTCCTTTTTCAGAGCTTGGTTGCCCCAGCTAACCAAGGCCTGGGTGCCAGAGGAGTCGGGTGCACATTCTTTGGGGGCAGTCCTAGCTGTGTCCTATGACAGTCCTCCATAACTAGAGGAGATCTAACCAGGAGGTAGCCATGGTATCTGAAAAGTTTGGAGGCAGGCAGTGTCATCAATGTCCAACTAGGTGCCAGGCTCGTTGGGTGAACAGGTGTGTGGGAAACAGTGGCTTAGTGTCACAAGACTTGCAAGTAGGGTTGTTCCAGCCATGGATTCCAGATGTAGACTTTTAATCTTTTGGAAGACTAATGAAAACAAGGCTCTGGTTAGGAGTATGCACAAGAACAGGGCAGGTTGTCTGTGACTGTAGCAGGCCCAGTTACTTGTTATGAGAACTGATGCATAAGGCAGAGGATTTTGTTTGAGTAGTAGAGCAGAAGCTCATTTACTGAAAGTAGAACCAAAAGTCAGGTGTGACAAGAGGAGTGGTTACTTGGAAGCTGAATCATCTAACCTGTTGAGATTTAAATTTTCCTTGTCTTAGAAGAGGATAATTCTTAGAACAAGAAGGGATCTTGAATCTGCAGTGGGGCCAGAAAGTCTTTTCTGGAGTCTGAAGGATAGGTGGTAAGGAGCTAGGGGAGGTTCATAAAACCTTCTTTTTGGTATTTGAAACTAGGCTAGGATCTGATCTAATAAACTAGTGTTCAGACTCCTCACTGAGTCTGAACTAAGCTTTGTTCACAGCTCACATACTTAGATTTAAATCTGAGCTCTGTTTCTACCTGTCTGTGTAACATGGTGTAAGTTATTAACTGTTTTTTAAACTCAGTTTCCTCTTCTGCAAAATAGGGTTGATAATGGTACCTCATTAGATTGTTAGAAAGATTAAAACTGAATTAATATTGCATGAAAAACATTTAATTAAAACAATGCCTGACATAAAGATAAGACTTATTGAGTGCTTAGTAGTAGTATTAAAACAGACTTAATGTTACTATTAATGTGGCTATGAACTTTTATAACATGTTTATTAGCTACACCAAAGAAATGGCCTGTGTGTATGTGCACACATATGTGTATATGTACACAAAAAACATTTATCTATTTTGTGTGTTAAATCATACATACAGGTTTTTGATGAGAAGTATTTTCTAGTGGAAATGGATGATTTGCGACTGGAGAATCGTGCACAGCGATCCTTCGTGTGTCACACTGACAGCCCTGGTATTTTCCCCGTGCAGTGGAGTCTGAAGAATGGTTTACACATCAGCCCCCCTCCTGGTGTGTATTCATTCTTTTCTTATTTGTTTGCTTGGGAATGAGATTTATCAGGTGGCTTTACCTGGATCTTTTGTCCCCACCTCTCCTCACACCCAGTCCAGTCCTTAGTGGTTTGGGGGCACAAGACGAGTATAAACAAAGACCTAGATTCCAGTTTCTACATATTTAAATGTTACAAATTAAGCTTGTGCTGCTGTGCTGTGCTTAGTCGCTCAGTGGTGTCTGACTCTTTGCAACCCCGTGGACTGTAGCCCACCAGGCTCCTCTGTCCATGGGATTTCCCAGGCAAGAGTACTGGAGTGGGTTGCCATTTTACTCCAGGGGATCTTCCTGACCCAGGGTTCGATCCCATGTCTCCTGCTTGGCAAGCGGATTCTTTACCACTGAGCCACCTGGGAAGCCCATAAATTAATCTTGAAAACTAGGAAAGTATGCCCTACTACTTAGATAAATATCTTCATGACAACCTGGGATTCCATGCAGCCTCCATCTGTGTCTGTCAGGAGGCAGTAGGGGTGAGGGTAGGATGCAGTGAGCATCGGGAGCTGGAGAGCCAGAGTGAGGCGGTGGATTGATGTCTGTTTGGTTTCTGGACCTCCTTTTAGAGGGAGATGCTTTGGACTTCAGAGGGAGGTATTTGGTCAAGAGTAGAACTCAGGCTGTAAGTAGGAAAGTAGCAGCTCATTTTCCTCATGTTTGAGCTTTGCAAAATTTAATCTTTGACCCTTTAATTAAGGCTACTAAATATGACTTAGTTGAGCTGAAATTAAAAAAAAAATTTTAAACTCGAGTATCTGGAAGAATAATATGTTTATCTGATTTTTGTATCAGCAAGTCAGATTATTTGACTGGCGGTGTATGTATACTTTATTGGCAAGTCCTTGGTAAAATATATCTTCACTTTCTAAATGGTGACTGCTGGAACTCTGGACTGTGAGTGTTCTTTTCTGTTCACAAGAGTCACAGACTCTGAACCTTTGTCTTCTGTTCAGCCTTCATTTATCCAACAAACATTCGTGGAATGTTTGTGTTGAGCCAGGCCTTGGACTAGTCACTGGAGAAACAAAAGTGAGAACGACAGTTCCTGCAATGAACAAATAGGGGGAAACAGCAGAAGCCCCCTGGTTCTCCCTCATCAGTGACCAGACAGTGGGGGTAACTGCCTGGTGAGGATGGAAGGGTTGGGGTCCACACCTTCAGGAGCAAGTTCTTTGTGTGAATGCTCTGAACACCCCAAGTTCCTTATCCTCTCTGCTGTCTTTCTGTGAGAAGATAAAACATTTTTATTAAAGATATCAGAGCTCTCAGCGTTTTTATAGACAGTGCAGCTGTCTTTATAAATAGAAGGAAAGTAGTAGATTTTGTATTGAAAATGGCAGGTGATTTACTGTCAGGAATGAAGTGGAGCCAGAGAAAACACGGTGCCGGTCTGAGCTGGGCAGAGGAGGTGGCTGCACATTGTAGGCTGGCGCGGTCTTGAGTAGCCTGCTCTGTGCCTGTCGGGTACTGAACTCTGGGGAGCAGAGAGGAACGCAGACCCAGCGGAGCAGCAGGGCTCAGTCAGCTCCTGGCACAGAGCCAGTGCCATCAGGGTGTCGGGTTAGAGGGGCTTCTGCCAAGAACCCTGTAGACTGAAGCGGGGAATTAAGCTCAACTTTTTTTGTGAAATGAATTCATGATTCAGGTTATGAGAACATTGAGATTTTGTAAAAAATGTAACTGTTGAGAGTATTAGTAGTAGCTAAGACATGTTTTGGAGAAGGAAATGGCAACCCACTCCAGTACTCTTGCCTGGAAAATCCCATGGATGGAGAAACCTGATAGGCTACAGTCCATGGGGTCTCAAAGAGTCAGACATGACTGAGCGACTTCACAAGACATGTTTTAGGAAATAGCTCTGTGAAAGAAGTCTTCACTGATTTAACTAATGCTGTAGGTTGTTTGCTGTCTCTTTTCCTTAGAGCTTAAGTCATAATAGAAGGGTAATGAGACTAGAATTATTAGCACAGATCAAATTCAGTCATAACTTTTAAAATCTTTTGTTAAATTGTCAACAACTAATCATAAAATACTGCTCGAATAAATGCTTAATTTGAAGTGTGAAAGTTGGAAATTCTATCCAGAGTTGCTCTATTTTATAAAAATCAACAATACTTTAGATTTGATAGGATGTTTTTTCCTCTAAAATGATCAAGTCCTCAAATTAGCGAAATTAAAAGCTGTGGGTGGATACCAGCAGAGAGGTAAAGCCGGGCAAGCACATGAGGTGTGAATCATTGCTCTTTTGTCCCTGCCTAGGCTACCAGGGCCAGGACTTTGACTGGGCCGACTACCTCAAACAGTGTGGTGCTGAAGCTGCTCCCCAGAGGTGCTTCCCTCCGGTGAGAATCCCGTGCCTGCAGGGCCACTGCTCTAGGGCTACTGGGGACTGCTGCCTTCCTGCGCTGTAGTGATGTTTACTCTGAAGCCAATTCTCTCAGGCAACCCAGAAAAGCCTCTTGTTGCTTGTAATAAAATGGTCCAAGGAAAAGTTCATTTACTGCAGAAGTTAATTTGTTAATTTAATTAATTTAACAGTTTATTGTTTTTTTTCCTTATTAGCTGAAATCATGTGAATTTAAAATTTTAGTTTATGATTAGTTTTGATGGTCCATTAAATATGAAAATATGTTGAAATATTAAGGGGTGAAAATTGTTAAACTTACTTATGGTTAACAAGGCCAAATAGCAGTGAAAAGCTTAGGACATAAACCAATAATTTCCTACTCTATCTGACTTTCCATGGCTTCCCTTCCCAGGAGTATTTACTTCCTATTCTTCTCACTGTTATTCTCATATTTATAGTTCTTTATTTATAATACACTGCCGTCTTTTGAGTTAATTTTAGATGCGTCTCTTGATTCTATGTTATGATAAATGAGTAATCTGGCTATTTTACTACTTTTCTCCTCTGTCTTTCCTGTTTCCTCTTCCTATTAGGTTGATTTTACAGTTTTTGGTTAAATCTGAATTTGAGTATTTATGTTACCATGGGCATTTAAGTGTTATTCACAAATTGTTGTTGTTCAGTCACCAAGTCCGACTCTTTGCCACCCCTGTAGACTGTGGCATCCCAGGCTTCACTGTCCTTCGCCATCCGGAGTTTGCTCAAATTCCTGTCCACTGAGTTGATGCTATCTAACTGTCTCATTCTCTGTCACCCTCTTCTCCTTTTGCCTTCAATCTTTCCCACCTGATTAGTAGTGCATTATTTTATGATTGCTTTGTCTTTTAATTTGTCCTCAAGTTAATAATTGCCTTGTTTTCATAGCTTAATTTTCTTAGTTTATAATATAATTTTCTTTGTTTCTTTGTTATAAAACTACCATTTCCCACACCATTCAGTAGATTCTAAAAACTGTTTGCCCATCAGGAAATCTGTCATTTAAAATTTTTTTTTTTTAAGAGACACCCCTTGTAGCAACCCCTTTCTAGACAGGTTACTCTGTAGGCTTGCTGTGTAGTTTTAATTCTGGAAACTGCTCTGTCTCCCAAGGAATTACCTCTCTCTTTTCTTTGGACTTGAAATTTCAGTTTTGTATATCTCATGGCCTCCTCTTTGGTTTACTTGCTTGTTTTGATGGAGTCTGTCTTTCAAAAGCTTCCTGAAATGAGATGCAAGATATGTAAATTTTAGTAGACATTTTGTGTTTGAAAATGTCTTCACTCAGCTAACTTTTTTTTTTTAGTAAATCATACATTTTATTTATTTATTTATTTTTTCACAACCATAGTGTATCTTTTTTTTTTTTTTAACATGTATTCCCCATCCCGGTCCCCCCTCCCACCTCCCCACTCAGCTAACTTGACTCATCATTTGGCTCAGTGTGGAATTTGGGGCTGAAAGTTATTTCATTGTAGAATTTTGAAAGCATCAGTTGTTTTCTACCTTCAGTTCAGTTCAGTTGCTCAGTTGTGTCCGACTCTTTGTGACCCCATGGACTGCAGTACCCCAGGCTTCCATGTCCATCACCAACTCTTGGAGCCTGCTCAAACTCATGTCCATTGAGTCGGTGATGCCATTCAACCATCTCATCCTCTGTCGTCCCCTTCTCCTCCCGCCTTCAATCTTTCCCAGCATCAGGGTCTTTTCCAATGAGTCAGTTCTTTGCTTCAAGTGGCCAGTGTATTAGAGTTTCAGCTTCAGCATCATTCCTTCCAATGAATATTCAGGACTGATTTCCTTTAGGATGAATTGGTTGGATCTCCTTGCAGTCCAAGGGACTCTCAAGAGTCTCCTCCAATACCACAGTTCAAAAGCATCAATTCTTCGGCACTCAGCTTTCTTTATTTATAGTCCAGCTGTCACGTCCATACATGACTACTGGAAAAAACACAGCTTTGACTAGACGGACCTTTGTTGGCAAAGTAATGTCTGTGCCTTTTAATATGCTGTCTAGGTTGGTCATAACTTTTCTTCCAAGGAGCAAGTGTCTTTTAATTTCATGGCTGTGGTCACCATCTGCAGTGATTTTGGAACTCTCCAAGATAAAGTCTGTTACTGTTTCCGTTTATTTGCCATGAAGTGATGGGACTGGATGTCATGATCTTAGTTCTTTGAATGTTGAGTTTTAAGCCAACTTTTTCACTCTCCTCTTTCACTTTCATCAAGAGGCTCTTTAGTTCTTCTTCACTTTCTGCCATAAGGGTGGTGTCATCTGCATATCTGAGGTTATTGATATTTCTCCCATCAATCTTGATTGCAACTTTTGCTTCATCCAGTCCAGCATTTCTCATGATGTACTCTGCATTTAAGTTAAATAAGTTTTCTGCCTTACAGTGTTGGTATTGAGAAGTTAAAAGACATTCTTATTCTTGCTCTCTCATATATGACCTGCCTTTTTCTCTGTTCCTGGAAGATTATAGAATCTCTTGTCACTACATTTCAGTGTGAAACCATGGCTTGGCCCATCTTTACCCATGTGCTGGTGCATGGAGAGTGGATTCTCTCTGGATCTTTGCCTCTCTGTGCTGGGAAGTTGTCCTGAATCTCTTCTTTGATTCCTTTTCTCGCTCTCTTTTCTCCTTCTGAAATTTCACATCTTGTTGGCCCTCTGGATCATGCCTCTAATCCCCCAGACCGCCTGCCCCCTCCCCAGCACCTTTCCTACTTCTTAGGGTTTTTCCCTCTTGTTTTCTGGAAGATTTCCTAAACTTTAGGTTTTAACACTTACTTTGAGTTTTTAATTTTTGATATCACATTTTAAAAAATAGTTTATTTTTGGCTGTGCTGAGTGGGCTGCATGGGCTTGTCTCTATATGCAGCAGTGGGGGCTGCTCTCTGTTGCATGCACAGGTTTCTCAGTGTGGTGACTTCTCTTGTTGCAGGGCACATGTGCCCAGTAGTTGCAGCTTTCGGGTTCTAGAGCACAGGATTAATAGTTGTGGTGCATGGGCTTAGTTGCTCCTCAGTTTGTGGGATTATCCCAGACCAGAGACCGAACCTGTGTCTCCTGCATTGACAGGTGGATTCTTTATCACTGAGCCACTAGGGAAACTCGGATATCACATTTTTAACTTTTAAAACATATTTCTGATCTCTGAATATTTGTTTTTAATAACATGCTATTCTTATTTTAAAGATGTGGTAGTGTTTCTTATCTTTCAGAAGATGTTAATTACTCCTGCTTTTTTGGTCATTTTTCTTCTCGCGTAATCTGGTTTCTCCAAGTTGCTTATTTTATCTGTTTTTGTCTCAAACTTCTTATCTTTAGATACCTGTTAATTCCTCAGTAGGATTTGCTTGATTATATTTAAGAAATCAGGACTAAAAGAAAAGGCTGATTGGAAGCTCTAAGCATGTAGGTAGCGCTTGTCCATCTTGAGGTAACCAATTGGTAAGGATCTGGCTGGCCATTTGTTGGAGAAACCTAAATCCATATCTTTATGTGTTCCTTCTTGTGCTTGTCATATTAACACTAGACGTCTCTTTCAGTCCATTGCGTGGCGGGTAGAGGCAGGGGCTGGGCCTCCCGGCATTCCATATAGTACTCCCTGTTTTGGACAGCATGCACACCCTCAACAGTTCCTGTGTCCTCCTGCCTAGGGATCTGGTGTTTTACTGCCTAGAGGAGAAGTCTCATCTTCTATAGGGAGAGGGAGGGACAGTTATCCTGGGGTGTGGAATAGAGGAGTTACTCTGGAATTAACTGTTACTTGGAAAGATCTTTGAGATGAGCACATGAGTGAATACTGAGTATGTTATTTGGTGAATTTATTTTCTAGTCAATTTCTGAGCATGAATTTAAGGAGAACATGAAGCTTGAGGCAGTGAACCCTCTTCTCCCCGAAGAAGTGTGTGTTGCCACCATCACTGCAGTGAGAGGCTCCTACCTGTGGCTCCAGCTGGAGGGTAGGTGTCAGCGCCCCTGGGAAGCCTTCCTCTGAACACTCTTCTTCGCCTTCCTGTTTACCCCTGTAATGTTGCTTGTTCAACTTAATTGATTAACTAAATAAGGTTCTTGTTCAGAGACTTCTAATTTATAATTTAAGAGTCTAAAAATTTGTCTTCCTATCCTTGACCTTCGAATTTTAGGAAATGAATATGAATAAAAGCCTTCACTTATTAGGGTCCCCTGTTTTCTTGAAGGGGAAAATATAGATTAAATAACATATTTTGATGTGACTGAAATATATGAGCTTGAACATTAATAACCAGCTTATTCAAGAGATGATATTTTGGTTGTCCCCAACCAGAAGTACCAAAAAGTATGTGAAATTGACAGGATACATTATACTAAAAGTACTATTCAGTAATAGAACAGGTTTGTGAACAGAAAGTAGTATGTGAGTACTCATCTCTACAACTAACTATGTTTGGCCTGGATTTTTTTGTTGTTGTTTTATCATTCCTGAATAGCCAGACTCGGTTCTTATGTTGTTCCCAGTTTGCAGAGTTAGTGTTTAACACAGGAGTCAAGAACCGTATTAGATACACATGTTTATGCAGCCCCTGCTGAGCAATTTGTCTTCATCACTTTCTGATTTGAGCTACCTTTTCTACCTCCTGGCTTGTTCCTGAGTACCAGAACTGATGTTTTTTAAATGAGTAGAACTATAACTTTTGCCTTTTATTTTCCAGTTACTTCATGGAATTCACTACCATATTTGTCGATCATCTGAATATTACTGGTAGTTCTAGTAGCTTATTTGCTGTTCCCTAACTTTACCCTGTATATTCACTACCTGTTTTGGTCATTATTGGGGGACAGTTTACTTTTTTATAAATGTTTGTCGCACATGAAAAAGTATGTGTGTATTTGCTCTGTCGTGTCTGACTCTGCCAGTCCATGGACTGTAGCCCTCCAGGCTCGTAAGAATACTGAGGCAGGTTACCATTTCCTACTCTAGGGACTCTTCCTAACCCAAGGATCTCTTGTGTCTCCTGCATTGGCAGGCGGATTCTTTACCACTATGCCTCCTGGGCAGAAGTGTGACTTTTGTAAAGGAAACTTGCTAAAGAAACTTTGTGTCTTTTGCAGCAATAGAACACTGGGCACTGTCTACTAGAATACTGTCTAGAAAGTAGTTTATGAAGAAAGTTATTTAGTGGTCTTAAATTTTTTTTTTTTAAATCTAAACAGGTTCTAAGAAGCCTATACCTGAATTTATTGTGAATGTGGAATCAATGGATATATTTCCTTTGGGCTGGTGTGAAACCAATGGCCATCCCCTTAGCACTCCTCGCCGAGCACGAGGTAACTCTCTACTTCTGGATCAAAGGTTTGATTGTTAAACAGTATGTTGTTTGACTGTTATCAAGTAGGATGAATTTGTACACTTGAGAGAAAAATAAAATTATATTCTGGTTATCCGTTCCTGCCTAGGAAATGATTCATTGCAACAAAACATTTATTATCTCACAGTTTCTATGGGTTAGGAATCTGACACAACTTGGCTGGAACCTCAGGATCCGAGTCACTGGTGAGGCTGCATTTCAGGGTGTCAGCAGGGCTCTTGTCATCTCAAGGCCCAACTTGGGGAGGGTGTGCTTCCAAGTTTACTCAGATGTTTGTGGGCGAGAATTCATTTCCCTGTGGGCTGTGGGGCTGAGGGCCTCTGTTCTTTGCTGGCTGTCAGTTGGAGGCTTATGTCAATTTCTGGCCATTTGGGTTGCTTCATGGGGGCGCTCACAGCACAGCAGTTGGCTTCCATCAGAGCCAGCAACTGTGAGAGGAAGAGATTGAGCAAGACGCGAGTGATCCTAAAGTGTTCCTGCCCCTTACTTTTAAAAACAGCTTTATTGAAAGATATTTATTTACCATAAAATATCCTCCTTTAAAGGACGGTTGACCCTTGAACAATGCGAATTTAAACTGTGTGGGTCTACTTATACATGGTTTTTTTCAATAAATATATACTGCAGTACTGCACGACCCCTGGTTGGTTGAATCTGTGGTTGAAGAATTGCACCTGCAGAGAGTGAAATGTAAATTTATACATGGATCTTTGAGTGCATGGGGATTGGCACCCTAACCTCTGCATTGTTAGGGTCACCTGTTTTTAAAACCTAGTTCTGTGTATACTTAAGTAGCAAATACTACAAATATTGAAACCCAAAATAATATTTTTATGCCTCCCTGGGCCAGCTAGCTTCATTTTATATCCAGGGGGATATAAAATTGTGTAGCTGCTTTGGATAACAGCCTGGCAGATCCTCAGAGTATTAAATATAGTTATATACTCATGAGAAATGAAAACATATATCCACAGAAAAACTTGTACACAAAGTTCATGCTGGAAACAGTCCAAATGTCCATCAGCTTATGCACAGATAAGCAAATGTTATATCTCCATACTGTGGAGTAGTCAAAAATATAAAGGAATGAGGTATTAATACACACTTGAATGTGGATGAAGTCTGAGAACATTATGTTAAGTAAAAAAAGCCAGTCACAAGAGAGCACATGTTGTATGATTCCACTTATAGAAACAGGCAAATCTAGAGAGAGAAAAAGTAGATTGGTAGTTGCCTAGGGGCTCAGGGGTGGTAAACTAAGAGGTGATTGCTGTGGGGTACCAGGTTTCTTTTTGAGATGATAAAAATATTCTCAAATTGGTTTGAGATTGCCCAACTCTTTGAATATACTAAAGATCAGTGAACTGTGTGTAGTTGTCCCTCGGTATACACAGGGGATTGGTCCCCGGATCTGCCATGGATACCAAAATCTGCAGATGCGCACGTCCCATAGTTGGCCCTCTGTCTCTGCAGTTTGCGTCTGAGGAATCGGCCAACCTCAGATGGTGTAGTACTACAGTAATTACTGTTGAAAAAGTCCCTGTATAAGGAGACCCATGCAGTTCAAACTCATGTTGTTCAAGGGTCAACTGTAAGCTAATATTAGCTTAATGCATATGTAACTTTTGTCTTTTTATTTTTCTTGACATTTATTTACAGATTTCTTTTTTCTTTGTACAGTACACAAACAGAGGAAAATTGCAGTGGTTCAACCAGAAAAACAGTAAGTAATAAAAAGTATGTTAAATAGAAGAAGGAAAGATAAAAATGTTTCTGTTCTTCATCTGTTTAAAAAAAAATGAGTACTTCCTCTGTTTACACTGGGATTATGTCCCAGAAAAGCTACCGTAAGTTAAAAATATCGTAAGTTGAAAAATGCATTTTACATCCTTGACATACCAAACATTGTAGCTTTGTCTGACTTAAACATGCTCAGGACACTTACATTAGCCTCCAGTGTGGAAGAATCATCTACCACAAGGAACACCCAACTAATACATTGGCTGCTCTACTGAAAGCAAAGAAGAGAATGGTTGTAAGTGTATTGATTGTTTACCTTTGTGATCTCCTGGCTGACTGGTTTGCTGCCCAGGATCATGGATCGTCCCGCATAACATTAGCCAGGGAAAAGATCAAAAGTCAAAGTATAGTTTCTGCTGAATGCATATTGCTCTTGCACCTTCATTAAGTTGAAATATCATTAAGTGAAACCACTGTCAATCAGAGATCATCTGTAGTTTACTTGTGTTTTAAGAATCCCACAGGCATTCTATAATTTGCTGCTCACATAAATGCGAGTTAGTTTGAATGTGCAGTATCACAGCACTGTCTACATACTGTTGTTTTCCCCTTAGAACATATAAATAGCTTTTAAAACAATTGCTTTTTTTTAAAAAAAGTATGACAAGGAAGCACTTTTTGCTACAGATTTCGCAGTCTGCCACATTTGCTTTCTTCTTAGATTTGAAGGAAAGTAATCCTCACATTTTATTGACCTTAAGGACTATCTCATTATATTTTGTTGCTTTTTCTTGATGCAGAATACCATCCTCAAGAACTGTCCATGAGGGTCTGAAGAATCAGGAGCTGAGCTCCCCAGACTCAGGTATAAGTTCAGACAATCTTAGGGAAAAGACGACCTTTAATTTCCTTTAGTGGACTTTATCTAAAAATAATTTAAGTTTATTGGAGTAGCTTCATAGAGGGATCTCTTAATTGTGATTTTAAAGAGTTAAAACTGTCTAAGATGTATTCAGTTTACTAATTATCTTTAGGCTAGTATTTCTGTGCATTTATAATATTTTAGCTATTATTTACTGATCACTTGTCGATGTTAAAGGCTCTGGAGGTCAGTATATTATCCCTGAGTTTCATGAAGAACCTGAGGCTTTCCAGATCGTGCTCTTTTTTAAGCTGGGTGGTTGAGAGATAGATGTTTGTTCTTCTTTAAAACCTTTCTATGATATACACACTATATTTTGTCTATATTTTGCAAAAACAAACAACAACACTGAAAAACATTATCCTTTATGCAATACCTGTTAAATGAGACAGGGCTCCTTGTTGGAGGTCAAGCTGTTGACCAGGACTCCTTGGCTCCCTCTTGCTGGTTGTATGACACATAGCATCTTGACTCTGTGTGTTGGCACACCTTAGGCTTTTGGGAGGTATTCAGTGAATGCCTAGGAAAGAAACCAAAGCCCAGAGAGGTCACACAGCTTATTGTAAAAGGGTGAGAAAGGGAACTCATATTTCTCAAGTTCAAAACTTGCGCTTTTGTCTCTTCTGCTGCTGCTGCTAAGTCACTTCAGTCGTGTCCGACTCTGTGCGACCCCATAGATGGCAACTCCACCATCCCTGGGATTCTCCAGGCAAGAACACTGGAGTGGGGTGTCATTTCCTTCTCCAATGCATGAAAGTGAAAAGTGAAAGCAATGTCGCTCAGTCGTGTCCGACTCTTCGCGACCCCATGGACTGCAGCCTACCAGGCTCCTCTGTCCATGGGATTTTCCAGGCAAGAGTACTAGAGTGGGGTGTCATTGCCTTCTTTGTCTCTTCTTCCCACTGCCTTTTTGTAACATCATGGAGGATCAGGGTTGTGCATTTCTTTATTTTTGTTGTATTACTGACCATTCTAATGCCCACTAAAACCACAGAATTAAGATATTAAGATCTCATGTGATCATAGCCAGAATCTTTTTGCTTTGGGTTTTGTTGTAGGTCAAGTTACCTTGGAAACAGAGCCTGAGATTGATATTTGCATGTAGGAGTTTCAGGGGAGTGCTTTTGGCAACACTTCTGGGAAGAGTTGAAGGACACAGGACTGGGCAGAGGGCGAAGCTGAGTCCCAGTGCAGTTGTAATAGAAGTCCTTTCAGCCCCACAGGGAGCCCTGGAGCTGGTGGAGCCCTGAGTGTTGCTAGCAGAGGTGTGGTCACTATACCCTGGTGTTCCCTCAGTGGTCAGCTGTGGAAGTGAGCTCTTCCTCCCTGCCCACCTCACACAGGGTGGGCCTTGGGCCAGGTAGCTCTCTCCTCCTGAGGGGCAGTTCTAGACTGAGAGTGATTCCAGGACAGACTCACAACTGAGAGCTGTAAACTGCCAGCATTTCCAGGAGCAGGGTGCATCCCCAGAGGGGACCTGGGTGGCAGAGTTCAAATGGAAAAGTGGGTCCCTACATGTGCTAAGACTGGGTTCTTGGGAATTCCCTGGTGGTCCAGTGGTTAGGGCTCCATGCTTTCACTGCCGTGGCCCCAGGTTCAATCCCTGGTTGAGGAATTAAGAATCCTGCAAGTCATGCAGCGTGGCCTAATAATAAATTAAATAAACAAATAAAAGACTGTGTTCTTAATTAGAGTGTGAACACTATGTCCTGCTGGATGCTGTCGGCACTGGGCAAGGGACTTTCCTAGTGGTCCGCTGGCTGTGACTCTGTGCTCCCAGTGCAAGGGAACTGGGTTCAATCCCTGGTCATCGAACTAGATCCCACTCGGAGTTCACATGCACAATGTAAAAAAAAACAAAATCCTGCATTCTGCAACTAAGATGTGGTGCAGCCATATAAGCAAATAAATATTAAAAAAAAAACTGGACGATGTACATACACTTTTCCTTTGGGTTAACAAGGTAGTCTTCATCAGAAGAGCTTCTCTTTGCATTGTCTGAAAGTAGAAGATGTTATAGTGTTTTTGCATTTTTTTTTTTAATATTTAGTAGCTGAATTGCCAACTACACAATATGAGGGGTTAAAAAAAATTATGTTGGGAGTACAGTATTCATACAAAAAAACAGTTCAAGAGAGGGTTCTCTAAGCCCAGTTATACCCCACAGTATGTGAAGAATTTAGAGATGTGGTTGCAGCATGCTTTTAGCCCTCTGAAGAATCCCAGTGATGGGAGGACTCCTGCATCATCAGAGGCTGCCAGTGTACTAGTTCAGTGGTTTTAAGGGACAAACCGTAGTTCTGGATATTCACCATCACTATTTAGAAATATTGTAGAACTGATTGTTGAGTAGTTGGTCTTCAGAAATTACCATGAGTTCTCAAAGTAAATCCTCCACTTCCTGTAGTGGTAGAAGCACTGGGCTCTAGAACAAATGTTGCACTAACCAGGAGTTAATCTGCAGTAAATCAGGATATTCAATTTCAGCAGAGTGATAGCCCTATAATAGACATTTTGTTAAGTATAAGGTATTTCATACTCAGACTGTATGTTAAGCTTCAAAATAAGTCCTGACTTTATATAATAGTGGATATACTGGTTTTTTCTTCAGTAATCTGCTTTAGAAGCATAGGGTAGGATTCTGTTCTGAATATTTGTTTTTCTTCATTTCTCAGTTATCATTAATGGAAAATATTGCTGTCCAAAGATATACTTCAACCACCGTTGCTTCTCAGGGCCATATCTTAACAAAGGAAGGATCGCTGAGCTGCCTCAGTGTGTGGGACCTGGGAACTGTGTTCTGGTCCTCAGAGAGGTAAGGTTCCTGCCTAGAGTATAAGAACTTAAGAAATTTCACAGCTGACTCATAGACTCATTTAGACAAGGATCAGCATGCCATAGATGTGACACCTCCAGGTTTTATCAAAAGTGACTCACTTTTCTTGTGTCTTGAACAATGAACTAGGCACGTGAATATTTTTTGCTCCATAGAGAACATTCAGTTGAGCGGTTCTTCCCGTGGCGGTTCATCTCTGTCACTGTAGAAAAGTCTTGTGTCAGAGCCCACGTGAGGACCATGAGAGCAGTCTAAGCCTGAGAGGCTGCGTGGCATTAACCTGGGACCATGACAGAGCTGCACACATACCTGCCGGGCTTGCGCCTCCCCACCAGGTGCCGCACTCTGGGCAACAGATGTGAGGTTATCAGACCTTTCAGGCCTTAGGGTGGCGAGGCTGCGTCTGGAAAGGCTGAAGCCTCCGTGTGTCCCATGACTGGGAAAGGATTTGGAAGCATATGCTAAGAGTAATTCTTGGTTTGTTGCGCCTATTCCTTCCTGACCATAATGTTTAGAATGTTCAAGAGGGTCTCATTACTGTCTTATTTGCGACTGTGGTCAACTGTCATATCTTCAGTATTATTATTTTGTTAGTGCTTATTAATTAATATGACTAGAGTTAATCACCTAGGTGACATTCTAGGGGATAGCAAGGTTCTAATGGTCTGCTTTCCTTTTTCCCAACTCAAATTTCTGCCTTAAAAATGGAGCACAGGTCCTCACTTTACTGATCAATGCAGCCTATAAACCCAGTCGTGTCCTTCGGGAGCTGCAGCTGGACAAAGACTCTGTGTGGCATGGATGTGGTGAAGTCCTCAAGGCCAAGTGAGTAGACTCCTCTGCCCTTTTTTCTTATTCATTCTTAACAGGTGCTTCCATGGAAAATATTAGGATACTTCTGTTCCCTTGGGCAGTCCTTCCTCAACTCTCTGTGGTAAAGGACCAGGTTTGTTTTCTTTTTTAAGTTGACATCCTATTGTGGGCCAAAACTTTTATAAAATATAGTAAAAATTAGTTAAAGGAAATATGGAATTTAAAAGATACAAAGTGCAAGAGCAGATTTTTTGTTATTAAAGAGCCATAAAATTACTTTGGCAAGTCACTGTGAAAGTTTGTAAACATCTGCTTTCGTTTTCTGACCTGATGTTGTCATGGACGGGTGGCAGTTGGCTAGTTTTGTTGGTCTGTGGCTCATACCCGTGTGTCACTTCTTCAGGATCAAGAAAGACTCAGTAAGAGTCACTGTTTCTAGTAGTCAGTGTAGAAGTTATTATTTGAAAACCTTAAACTTAGAAACAGAAAGCAGGAACTTTATTTTGCTAATTTAAAAAACTCAGCTTTTAGCTGTCCTAGCTTACTAAATTGTAAATTTGACTTAAGTACAATATAAATTTCTCATTGTTTTCAGAGTCCTCAAATTGTAAGCGACATATAATACTCTAAGAAGCAAAACTATTTTTCAGGTCTGTTAATATACTTGATTTTTCTCTGTGGAATCACTTGCCCAGTATATTTGGTGTCTGATGTCTTCCAATGGCAGATACAAAGGAAAGAGCTATCGAGCTACTGTCGAGATAGTGAAAACAGCAGATCGGGTGACTGAATTCTGCCGGCAAACCTGTATCAAATTGGAGTGCTGTCCTAACCTCTTTGGGCCACGAATGGTTCTGGATAAGTGTTCTGAGAACTGCTCTGTTCTTACAAAGACTAAGTATAGTGAGTCAACTTTTTCAAATTTGTTCACTAATAGCAGCTGACCATACCTCATCTCCTGCAAACTTTTAATTTTGCAGATATTCAGATATAGCTGAGGGACACAAACTTTCTGTATAAAGGGCCAGATAATATTTTAGGCAATAGATCATATTTTGCATATTTTAATTGTCTAGACTTAAATCACCTAGGTGACATTCTAGGGGATAGCAAGCTTCTAATGTTCTACTTGTCTCCTTCCCAACCCAAATTTCTGCTTTAAAAATGGAGCTCAGGTCCTCACTTTACTGATCAATGAAGCCTATAAACCCATTCGTGTCTTTTGGGAGCTGCAGTTGGACAAAGACTCTGTATGGCATGGATGTGGGGAAGAATATGCTTTTGCATATTCTTTTTCTGTTTTATTTTCATTTTTTAAAAGAACACTTTTAAAAATGTAAACTAAAACAGGCCATGGCCACATGTGGGCTGTGGGCTCTAGTTTGCCAACTTTTATGTACAAACAGTGTATAAGTTAGCTTTTGCCTTTAATAGGATATATAACTCCTTTATACAGTCTGCAACTATTTATGTGTCCACTGTGTACCACTACTGTTCTGGCACTGGGATACAAATGTAAAGAAAAAAATTCATTCTCATTGAGTTTACATCTTAATGTGGGAAACAGGTAGTAAACAAGTGAAAAAACAGAAGTACTATGGAGAAAAATGAAGCAAAGTAAGCAAAGTAGGAGAGTGAGGAAGGAAGGCTAACAGTTGGGATGTTGTTCATACAGGTGGCCAAGGAAGACTTCCTGACAGGTAACTACCTGAAGGAAGCAGCCCAGCTGTACAGACTTTGAGGGAAGAGGCAGGAGCATGTTATAACAATACCTGCTACCTCTCATTGCTTATCTTTTCCCTTGTGAAGCTGCAAAAAGAAAAAAATTATACAGAATGAAAATTTTAAAATATTTATTTATTTTGCTGCACAGGATCTTAGTTGTGGCACACAGGATCTTTAGTTGTAGCATGTGGGATCTAGTTCTCTGACCAGGGATCAAACCCAGGCCCCATGCATTGGGAGCTCTGAGTCTTAGCCACTGGACCACCAGGGAGGTCCCCAAAATGAAGATCTTAATTTGGAGTCTTGTCAAGCCATTGTTACTCAGAGACAAAATTCTGATCCTGCTTTTCCTTAAATCCTACAAGCCCTGGTATACTTAGGAGAATTAATATAGAGGTGGGTTTTACCCTGTTAAACTTGAAGATTTCTTTTAAGGCACTCTAATTTTGTGTGTCTTTAATTTTATCATGTGGGTAAATCACCTAAGGATCTTGTTGAAATGGAAATTCTGATTCTTCAGGGTATATCTGGGGCCTAAGTTGTCTGCATTTCCAACAAGATCCCAGATGCTGGTGATGCTGCTTATGCAAGGTCCATATTTAGCATGATGGGTTTTCTAATCAGTATATGAATCACAAACTCATATGAGAGTCTCACCTTTTTGTTTCCACTTACATTTATTGGAATGTAAACTTCTTAAGAGCAGGATTTGTCTAGCTTATTATTATTGTGTCAGATTCAGCACTTAGTTAGGCAGATTGCAATAATTAGGAGCTAAGTGAAATGTACTGTTCATATAAGCACATGTTTTAAGCACACCAATTTGAGCCTTTGGTATTATTTGGATTATGTTACACTTCTTGTCTGAATTTATTTTTCTCAATGAGATAATTGAAATTAGCCTAGATTTTAGGAGTCTTTATAATTTTTCCCAGTTAGTAATTTAAGTAATATCAAATGGATTTATATTCTTTAGCACTCATTTTAACAAAAAAATTACATTATATTTTGATATTACTTTAATGTATAGCTCAGAGTTAAACTATATATGTGTTATTTTTTGAAGCATTTCTACATTCTGTAATTTATATGAAAATACAGAGGACCTAAAAATAGTCATAACAATTCTGAAAAAGAAGAATAAAGTTGGAGGACTTACTCTACCTGACTTCAAGTTTTACCATAAACTACAGAAATCAAGAGTGTAGTATTGATGAAATAATAGTCAAATCGAGTGATGGGACAGAATAGAGGGTCCAGAAAGAGACACAAACATGTAGCTACAAGATTTTCAACAAAAATGACTAATGGGAAAGGAATTTCTTTCAACAAGTGGCAAGGGTACAATTGGACATCCAAATTGAAAAGGCAAAAACAAAATTCCTTGGCTCCACCTCACTATAGACAAAAATTAATTCAAGGTGTGTCATAGACCTCTTGTAAAACTAAAACTATAAAGCTTCTAGAAGAAAACAAGAAAAATGTCTCAAGATTTTGAGCTAGGTAAAAGTTGCTTAGAGAGTACACAGAATTCACTAACTAACTGAAGGAAAAACTAATACATTAAACACTATGAAGTTAAAACTTTTGCTCTTTTAATGATAGTATTTATAAAAATGAAGAGACAATAAACAGTCTTGGAGAGAATATCTCATTTATTTGTTTTGGCATCTCTGAATGGCACAGAGGAGAAAATGTTCTTAGTATGTATATCCAACAAAGAACTTGTCTCCAGAATATATTAAAAACTCACAACTCACTAAAAAGAGGTTTTGAAACTAGAGAAAACTGGTAGTTGTACAACATTGTGACTATATTAGTAGCACTCATTTGTACATATTTATATGTTATGTGATTTTATCTCAATTTAAAAATAAGATAAATAAAAAGAGGAATTAATCTGAAATTAGATAGTAGTGGTGGATTCATCTGTGTCTAAAAATCACTGAATATGTACACTTATAAATGATGGATTTTATGTTATGTGAATTACATCTCAATTTTAAAAAATGAAATAAGCAGGGAAAACTGTTTTAAAAAGTGAATAAAAGACTTGAATAGGACTCTGAATACAAGACAAGTTGGATACAGCGTCTTAGCGGAGGGATGCAACACGATGTTGAGCGGAGAGTGGCACGAATTAGGCGTCCAAAGGAAGAAGTAGAGAAACTGGCTGGTATAGAGAAGGGCCCTAGACTTCACTCGCCTGTGCGAAAAACCCACTCATCTGACACTGAAGCTTGCACAGCACGTTCACGAAGGTGTTCGTACATCAGTACCAATGCAACAGAAATCTCCAGAGCTTCACAGGGCTGAGGATCTGAGGGCACTAGATCCCCAGCAAAGCCAGGCATCTATGACTCAGGGCCAGGGTGGCCTCAGCTGCAGAAATGTGTGATTCTTCTATCCATGCACAACTGTTCCACCTTCAAATGAATCAACAAAGGAACAGAAGTGGACAAGACGGAATAGACAAGATGCCTCTTGAACTAGAAGTCTCTGTCTATTTGATAGGGATCTAAGAAAGAGGATAAGGTCTTTGCTGGGCCACCTGAGACCAAACTGGGATGGAGAACCGAATTTGTCATAAACCGGATGGAATTGCCAACAACTCCAGTCATCTGTTTGTGTGTACACTGCTGTTCTTGGAGCATATGTTTCTGAATAAAGAAGAAAGGAGAAATTTAGTGCCAAAGGCCTTGAGAGACTGTCAAAAGGAATGGAGGGAGTGATGTGGTGCCTGCATGCCCTCCTCTCCCACAGAGACTTTGAAGGGTTTTAAGACCTTGGGAAAAGATCTTAGAGCGAGAAACCAAGGAATCATTTTTGCAAATGATTTGGGGATTTCAGATTTAAGAAGTATTACTTTGGGCTCTGGTGACAAAGTCTAGCACAGAACTGGTGAGAGGGTCCCTCTCTTACCCAGTTCTGCCAAAAGACCTCTGTGCACCTTGTCACCACTAGGGAAGGGCTACACCCAAAGAAGGCGTATTCTCATAAAGGACACTAGTGCCCGATACAGGGTCAAGATGAGTTGGCGAAGAGCAGAGAATAGTAGAACATGAGTGGAACTGTTCTGAGCATCTGCGAGATACAACTGAAGCTCTCCTGTCCTGAACGGTGGAGCTTGGGCGGACGGAGATGATTGTTAAGATGACTGATAAAACTTATTTAGGCAGTGATATTAAGGTAAATTCATTAGTATTCACAAGCCAGAATCATCTGATATTATATGATATTCACATGATGTTACACTTAAAATTATATTAACAAGAAGAGAGTTAGAGGGAAAGAAAATACTTAATGCCTTTGATAAAAGTACAGTGTGAGCCACACCATGTTGAACCTTGATTCAAGAATAGTAAGTACCTACTATGTGTTAGTCCCATACTAAGGTGTATAGTAACATTAACTTCTCAATTTACTCCTGTCAAAGAAAGTATTAATCTTTACTAGTGTCATTGAGGCAGGGGATAAATAAGTTCCAGGTTAGATATTTACAACTAGCCTCTTATTTATACTTTGAGCTAGAAATAACAACAGGAACAGGAGGAATAATTGGACTTTATGTCCTGTGAACACTTTAAGACAACAGCAATGGCAGGGACAGAGATGGGTTAAGCCCTGCTTAGGGAAAAAATAAGGAAGTCACATATTTCTCATTCTTGGTGTCAGGGAGACCTCCCAAATTACACATGCACAGAAAGTTTCCTCGGGGGAAAGGGCGCCAGATCATAATAAGTTTTGCTAACTTCGCAGAGACCCTGAAGTTGAAATTCACCTAGGCTAAAGGATACGCACACACGTGGGCTCTAAGACAAATCAGATACACGGTCAAAGCACAATGATTGGTCAAAGGAAGACAAAGTCCCAGAAGTCCCTTATAAATGATCTAAACTTCCCAAAGCTACAACTGTTCCTGAACCCACCAGGTATCTATCTGCTCATACTCCTCTCATCATGAACACTTTACTTGCTTCACTATTTTCCATCTCTTTGAAATTCTTTCCAAAGGGGACAAAAGCCAGGGCAGTGCCACCATCCAGTTTCAACCCCTGGTCAGGGAACTGAGATCCCGTTTCAAATCTCCGAAGCCATAGCCACCCAACAGCTCCTCCAAGATCATTATTTCTGTTTATTTGCTTTTAGCTAACAGTTTTAAAATCATTAGTATTTTTAATGTGAGTACTATTATCATGCGAAGTACTCCTTTTATCCTCATTTTTTAGATAAAGATATTTAATGGTTAATTTACCAAAAGTAAGTAACACAGCTGGAAAAAAAGCAGAGCCAGGTTTCAAACTCAAACCAATACATAAAACTCAAAACCAATTCATAAAACATTGCTGTCTACATACTTTTACTGCCTCCTGCTACACAGAAAGCAAGTTGTAGCTGTATGTTTCTCTATAACGGAAAATCTATTTTCTATTTTTTAAATCTATTTTCAACTCCCATTCTTAAAAGGAAATGAATTGTTTCTCAAAAAGAGGATTTAAATGAGAATTCTCCCAATGGAAACACTGAGTATGGAATGTTTCAGTGGAACATTGGGCAACTATTTAAATTTCTCTGCTCAGAAAAAGAAAAAAAAAGCCCTGAAAACAAACCCAAAAAAAGTCCTATGATCACTGCAGCATAGACTTGGCCAGTGATTTTCTACACTTTTGCTGCAGATTCTGATTGCAGGAACTCATCCAGGAACTCCAGGGTGAGAGCCTGGAATTTCTATCATTATGAAGCACCATATATGATTCTAATTCACGACCAAGTTTGACCAGTCCAACAGAACAAAATAGTATGGTGCTCACAAGAACATTCAGTCTCCTAGACTTGCCCATTAACCCAGTCAATTAGTGTGAAGGAAACGGGAAATTGGTATTTAAAACCTACTAGGAAATGGCAACCCACTCCAGTATTCCTGCCTGAAAAATCCCATGGACAGAGGAGCCTGCCAGGTTGCCAAGAGTTGGACAAGACTGAGTGACTTCACTTTCTTTCTTTCTTCCTATATATAAATTCACACTTATTGTAAAGAAGTATATTCATTAAATTGTTTAGTGTCTTCGTCAAAAAGAAAAAAAAAAGACTTGAATAGGCACTTCACCAAAAAAGTGGCCAAAAGCACATGAAAATGTGCCCAGTAGCATTAGTTGTCAGGGAAATGCAGGTTTAAACTATGATGAGAAATTACTATGTATCCACTAGATTGGCTGAAATGAAAAAAGACTGACAGTCCCACGCATGGGCAGCGTGACCTGAGCAGCCTGACCTCTTGCACATTGCTGGTAGGAGAGTAAAATTATATAACCCTCTTGGAAAACTTAGCAGTTTCTTTGAAGGTAATCCTGTGTCTACCATGTGATCCAGCAATTCAATTCGTAGGTATTGACCCAAGGAAAATGAAAACATGCCCACTAAAAGCCTTGTACAAGAATGTTCACTGCACTTAATAATTGCCAAAACTTGGAAACAGCCAGGTGCCCGTCGGCAGGAGAATAGATAAGCCCAGTACATTCGTACAATAGCATGCTTTTCATCAATATGAAGAAATGAGCGTCTCACACATACAACATAAATGAAACTCAAAAACATTCTGCTGAGTGAAAAGGAGCCTTGTTGGAAAATGTACTTAATGATTCCTTAGATGAGGCAAAACTAACGTATAGTGAGGGAAATTAGAATAATGGTTACTTCTGGTGAGGGGGACTGATGAGGGAGCGACACTGAGAACTTTCTATGTTGATGGGGATATTTTATATCTTGATAGGGAGGATTATCTAGGTTTATGCATTTGACAGTTACTAATCAAACTATACATTCAGAACCTACACAGTTAAGATTATTCCATTATATGTAATTTAACCTTAAATACACTGTATCTATTTTGTGCTATGATAGTGGAATCTCTTGTGGTTTGAGGTACACAAAAATAATGAAACTACTTCATTTTTCTTTGTCATACACATTTAGCACACTACTACGGAAAGAAGAAAAATAAAAGAATTGGGAGACCACCTGGTGGGCATAGTAACTTAGCATGTGCCCTGAAAAAAGCAAGTAAGAGGAGAAAGAGGCGAAAAAATGTTTTTGTTCATAAGAAGAAACGCTCCTCTGCGTCTGTTGATAATACACCAGCAGGCTCTCCCCAGGTACGAGATCTGTGATGTCCCAGTAATGTCTTTACGCCAAGAGATCCCTGCTTTACAATTCAAACAGAAAGAATATCTGCAGGTCTTTTTTTAATTCAAATCTCTAGTCAGTGGAAGATGGTTTTGTGTCCAGGAACTGATTTGTCTGGAATTTCAGTGACACATCTCCCCTTGTCCTCTAGGGAAGTGGTGGTGAAGATGAGGAGGACCCAGATGAAGGGGATGATGATTCCCTAAGTGAAGGCAGTACATCTGAGCAGCAGGATGAGCTCCAGGAAGAGTCAGAAATGTCAGAAAAAAAGTCATGCTCCTCCTCCCCCACCCAAAGTGAGATATCCACATCACTGCCTCCAGACAGACAGAGAAGAAAAAGAGAACTTCGCACTTTTTCATTTTCTGATGATGAGAATAAACCTCCTTCACCAAAGGTACCCATTTTAAAACTACAGTGTTTTTTTTTCTTTCTTGACAGTTTTCCTCGACAGTCTAATGGTGAATGATATTGGCATTACACTTATTTCAATATGGCATCAGTTGAATTTCCTGAGTCTCTTTTTAAAAGATCCCAAATTCAGATTTATTTGTATGTCAAGGATTATTTAGAGATCAAATAATAATAATCCTTATCAGGGGGAAAGTCTCTCAGAATGGCAGCTTATTTTAAGTTACACAAGTTTCATTGGTAGTTTATTAGTAGTGTATTAGTCGTTTAGGGAAAACTGTCTTTTTGATATTCTTCATGATATATGTGGTTTTTTAGAAATAAAGTGTTTATATCTTTTTGGCTCCTGTTAAACCATTTTGTTGGTAGATTCATATATGCATATTATATAACACATCACACATTATGAGAATGGAAGAGTAAGTTAGTATTTTAAACTTGGATTGCTTGTTAAATATAGTCTGTGAACAGAAATGGTTAAAAATGATTTCTCCTGGTAATTTAGTTAAGCCTTCTGTTATTGGAAATACCAGCCTGTTCACTTCTGCACCCTGATAGAGCGTGCGCTAAAATAAACCAAGGAACAAATGGGAGATTTTAAAACTATTTTCCGCTGTTAAATTATCCACATTATTTGTATTGAGACTTTGAGATACATTCTTGTCCACTGGTATTTCTTATTATAAAAGACAAAGTTTCTCAGTACCTAATGTGTGTGGACCTTTGCATATTTTCTGGGAGAAATCATGTCCTAAAAGCACTTTGAATTCTGCCTTTTAAAGGGTTATGACTTTCTGTAGAGACTTTCTTTGAATGAAGTAGCTCTAACACCATTTGTTTTGCTTTTGTTGTGGGGAATGAAGGAAATAAGGATTGAAGTTGCTGAAAGGCTTCACCTGGACAGTAACCCCCTGAAGTGGAGTGTGGCGGACGTTGTGCGGTTCATCCGATCCACAGACTGTGCTCCGTTAGCAAGGATATTCCTAGACCAGGTATCACAGAGACCTTTAGTTTTTAGTAATGCGTCTCTTTAGCAGAGGACTATGGATATAATAGCAATAGCAATTTATTTACAAGTCTTAGGAAAAATACTTCTATCCAAAAATAAAAAATGATTTCCCTGTTTAGGAGTAGAAACGTGATAAAAAGTTATTTATCTGACTTCCTTCACAGTTGAAGCAGATTGTTACTGCAATCTTATTTTTCCTAAGAGTTTGTTTGCATCCCCCATTAAATAACTTAAAATCAAGCATGCTATACTTAACTATCCTCTTATGCCAAAATAATGATTTGCTTGTTTTAAAAAATAATTAACATCTATAATATGTTAGGATCGAACAGAAATAGTCTGTGACCTTAAACAGTGAAATAAATTTTGTTTTGATACTTGAGGAGATTCACAACTGAACATCTTTGAAAAGCTTCTCAGGCTTTTGTGAATTACAGAGCAGGATTTATAGGTAATATTTTCTTTAGGATTTAGGAAAGTTCCTCTAAAAAGATGATTCTTTTGACACATTTAGTTGTCAGTTACAAGGCTAGTTAGTTTACTGGATTTCTGCAGAACAGATTCTTACTTGTGATAAAACTTTTATTATTCATTCTGAAGATTCATTAGTATAGAGGGCCATGAGAAGTATTTAAAAGGAAATGTGTGATACTTACTTTAAGGAGAAAAAGTAATGAAAAGCACAGGGACCCTGATTTTGACAAAACGAAGTGAACCAGGGCTGTCATGGTTGAGCTGCCATTCATGTGCACATCACAGATAATTTGTATTTTATGCTTTAACAGGAAATTGATGGGCAGGCCCTGTTGCTCCTTACTCTTCCCACTGTTCAAGAGTGCATGGACTTAAAACTGGGCCCTGCTATCAAACTTTGCCATCACATAGAGAGGATCAAGTTTGCTTTTTATGAACAGTTTGCCAACTGAGAAGGACAACCAAAGTAGGCTGTATCTTTGAAGCACAAATGCAGCAAATCCTTCGCCCTGCTCTACAAGTGGAGCTGAAATAGTCCCAGGGCTCTGGGCCCTGCAGGTGTCGGCTTGCTCTCTTTGCACTTTCAGGGAAGGAGGACCCACACCGAGGAAGCAAAAACTGCACAAAAGTGGCTCTCCCGCCAGTGAAAATGTGGGCATCTCTTGTTCATCAGATGGCAGTTTTAAAAAAAATAAAGATTGTGAAGAAAAGACTCATATAAAAAGAATAAGCATTTCCACTGGTGTGGCCTGGAAACAAGAATAATCGAGGCTGCTGGCACGCACCCTTTTGATTTTCTTTTTATTCTCTCTGTTCCTTCCCATTGTAGATGGAACTTTGTTCTCTGCTTTCTCTTTCTTGGGAAGAGAGGACACAGCTTTAAGTCAGCACTGATTTGGGACTGTGCCTCAGGCATGTCAGTGCTTCATTGTCACGTGTTTTAAAGCTTTTTTAAATTAAAACGGTTCATTTTGGGGATGATTATGTGGCTCTAGGTTTTTGAATGTACAGTCACACTTTGATCCATTTTAAAATCTATTCTTAGGAGTTCCTTTGTTTACTACCTCTGTTGATAATTGAGCTTGTAGCCATGTCTGAGGTTTTTTTAATGATGCCATTTTTAAGCTACATGAACACTAAAACTATGACAGAAGTTGGAGGAAAAGACACTGTTTTCTTTCTTAAGAATAATGTGTGGCACTTACACCAGTTCCTTAACTGACTGATCTAAGAACTCTGCTGTCGTCGTTTTCCATCCTCACTTCGGTTGGGCTGCCTGTTTCAAGTAATATCGCAGACTGTTGCTGTTTTAAGTTGAATTGCTCTCTCCCCACTAGTTCTCGGAAGGATGTCCATAGCTTTTATTTTGTATGTACTTTTCTCTACAGTTGTTTGTCCAACTTTCATTTTGAGAGTCCTTACTTTGGGTAAAAATCAGTAGGTGTTTCCTGGACCCACAGTAAAGCCCATTTCCCCATTTTTCTCAGTGTCTCTAGACAGATAGTATAGAAGCACAAAAGAGAAAATACGTTTTGGGGGAGGGGGAAAGTGATGTAGAGCATCAAGTTTCTGTCACAGTATGTCCTTAGTGGCCAGATAAAGATTGAGAGATGGTTAAGGATTCTAGAAACATCTTTGACTAGTCACATTTACACTTTCTTTGATTGAACCTTTAAATTGAATGTATTCTACAGTCAGTTTCCACTCAAAAACTCAGTTTCCTTTTAACTGTTTCTTTTGACCCAGCTCAACTTGACATTAAACAGAAAAATTTTCACTTATGATTGCACTGGCTGTTGGCTGTTATAGAAGAATAGCATTTACTGTACTGTTTCTTCCATAAGGAATGAGGAAAGATACATACATGGGTTGCTTCTTTTAAATGGTTTGCTTTCCTGAATGGTTTTTTTTTTTTTTAATTATCCTAGTTACCTACAACTTTATAACCTAATCATTCCTCTTCAAGATTTGAAAATGTTTTAAAACTACAAACTGGGTAAATTCTAAACAGCTATACAAATATAAGGTAATTTTATTACAAATTTAAACTGATTGCGATATTTTCCCTTTTCTTCCCCGCTGTTCCACCTTTTTTTTTGGGACCTTGGCAAACATTTTGTAGTCTGACTCTTCTCTTTATTGGATAATTTATGAACCACTTTAGTTCAAGCCCTCCAACCAAACCCTATATTAAAGCATCAACTCTTTGCTTAGGTTACTACTAGATATACCAGGAAAGAAGATTTAAGTAAAATTAATCTGTTTGAATGTATTGGGAGATCCAGTTTTTAAAGTTTTGATTGATTCTGTGCCACTGCAAGAGAAGCATATATAGGATGCTTGGGAACAATTAGTCTTAAGTAGATTAAGTTTGGGGAGCAAGTATCTTGCATAATAATGTTTTGTGAGAGCTCAGCAGTCAACACACTGTGGCAAGGAGTTTCTTGAAGTAGATCAGTGGTACAGAAAAGTCTGGAATTGATTAACATTGTTGTCTTATTTAGGAAAGTGGTATTTATTTTCTAAGAGAGAATTTACCAAATGTAACAATGAATATATTATCTCTTTTGACCTCTTCAGAAACCATAGAATTTAAAACACCTCCCTTCACAAGTGAGAGGGCAGAGCCCCTGAAAGATGAAATGCATGGACCTATGTAGAGTTTCTGATCAGAGTCAGACCCTAGCCAGCTTGTCTATTTACACCATGTTTAATCAAGCTCAGCTTTCTCCTAGAGAGAAGCTGACTCTAAACTGGACAAGTCAGTAGGGTTTCCCTTAATATTGTTTTGCATTCTCATACTAAGATAATAGTTTTATCACGCAACTACAGTGAAGAAGCATGATATACCCCCCAGCCCCTCCTCCCAGATATCACATAAGAGAGGATAATTATTTGGGAATTTTAAAGTAGGAAAAGCTTCCCTGATAGCTCAGCTGGTAAAGAATCTGCCTGCAGGGCAGGAGAGCCCGGTTCAATTCCTGGGTCAGGAAGATCTGCTGGAGAAGGGATAGGCTACCCACTCCAGTATTCTTGGGCTTCCCTTCTGGCTCAGCTGGTGGAGAATCCGTCCACAATGTGGGAGACCTGGGTTTGATCCCTGGGTTGGGAAGATCCCCTGGAGAAGGAAAAGGCAACCCACTCCAGTGTTCTGGCCGGGAGAATTCCATGAACTGTATAGTCCATGGGGTGGCAAAGAGTCAGACATGACTGAGTGACTTTCACTTTCACTTCAAAGTATAAAAGGGCTTTTAAAGTATAAAATTAAACTCCATTTGCCTCAGTGTTGTTGGGGCTGGACTGGACAGCAGTGATGGTCTGATTCTTTTGCTTCTAAAACAGATGTTAAACCTGATAATACCTCACCATGTTGGGTAAAATGTTTGTATATTGCCCATAGGTATGTGAACTTTGTTTTTTAAAGATACCAACCTCTTAAATTTGTGAGAGGTACATTATGAGGGACTGCATTTGTCTAAATTTGACCTTCAGCTGGCTCTGGAGCCTCCTTAAAGTCAGAAAGTTTTCCAGCATCAATTTTTGATCCTGAGTTGACAAGCTTGGAAACAGGTGAATGGATTATATCATACTTCTGGACTTTGAAGTTGGTTAACCAACATAGACCTCTTATTGTAGCGTTGGTGTGTTAGGGAAATCTTTTACCACCCGTGAAGATTTGCTATGACATTTTGAGTTTATTCTGTGGGCTTCTGGGAACTCATGCTATTTTTTATTTGTAAACTACCTACCTCCATCTCTCTCAGTTGAAGCAGAATTGAGGTGGCTAATGCAGGAAATGCACTAATGGGGTGGGGGGGGCACTTTTGTCCTGTCTGCCTTTCTTTAGTGATGTAGGTGGCAACCAGCATATATGAGGTCAGAAAAGGGTAGTTACCAACCTCTGGAAGAGTTGGGCTTCTTGGGTAAATATTTATTGAATTATGATAGAGGCAGACATGGAATACCAGTTCAGAACTTGACATTTATATATTTCTTCTCCTGAAAGCAAAATTATTCTCACTGTGAGAGAGAGAGGGCATTGGACCAAAGCTTCCTCAGGACTTGAATACATTTTACTTGTTCTCTTATCCCAATTGTCGCTAATACAGCACCTGAATACAGAGTGAAAGCTTTAGGAGGGCTCAGGTTAGATAGTATTCAGAACTGCAAGCCAAAAAGTATCTCTGGAGCACACATAGAACATCAGGGAACTGTAGGTGAGATTTAACTAAATGGGGACATTGGGAAAACTATCATAGGCACTTATATTTACTTGGCACCTATCACCAAAGACTTTGCCATAAGACACCGTGTGCTGGTTTGATTGATGCCTACAGATGCTCTGAGAGAGTTGTTAGGAGCATAGCCTCGACAGTGGAAACACACGCCAGGTTTGAACTTTAGTGGTGTATATTGGGGATTTTATGTGGTTGTGTATGTATGTGGAAGTTCAAAAGTGTTCAATGTTATCAGTTGGCCTTTTGAAGATGGAGAAGGCAGTACTAACAAATGAAGTATAACTCTCAATGGCGACTGTGTACCCTCTTGAAAAATCTGAATGTCTTTGGGTCTAGTGTAAGTAACTATGTGTCATAGTCATGATGCTGGCTCAGAAACCCTGTAGGACAGAGGCTCCTGCAAAACAGAAAAGAAATCAGTCACTTTCATGCAAGTGTAATTCTTGATTTTATTCACTTTACAGTGTTTTGCTAGTGAATTTTGATGATTCTCTCCCATTGTGTGAGGATGTGCATACTTTAGAAATTTGAATTTATCTAAATGAGCCACCTATGGACTTGGAGTTTTGGAAGAAGAGTTCTAAAGTCCAGCCCAGTCCAAATGGATCTGGTTCCAAGCCTGCTTGCCTGGGATTTCCTCTGTACCTGTTTCAGCTTTCACAGGTAGTTCTGTTTCTAAGGGGAGCCTTAGGGGTGAAGGTATAGAAGCTGATGGGCCCCAAGTGCACTGGAGATCAATTTTCTTCATTCTCATATTTCAGAAGTCTTAAGATTTTTTTCAAGAACCAGCAAAACCAGGAGTAGGGGTTGGAGAAATGGAGAAGTAGGGCTTAAAACTCCATTCCATTATGTTTCTTCTGACTTGACATACCATTTGGGTCTGTCCTGGTGCCAGGACCTATCACAAAGGACTGTCTTCAAATGGAAACAAGCCACAGCCTTGTTGGACACATCTTTAACTCCAGCAGCAAAACTGGGACCCAGAGCTCTCAGGAGGCAAAGGATGACACTGGCTAGTGAAATGAAGCTATAATACCATTGCTAATAGGTGTGCCTGTTCACAAGATGTGTGGGAATTCATTCCTAAGGGTTTCTATATGTTTTAGTTAATCTAACTATGCCTAGCTAGGCAGAATGGATGTGGGCAAATAGTGTTGAAAGAATGAGGTTAGGCTCTTTGGGCAAATCCAGTCACAAAGCAGATGACTGAGGAAGATAACAGAGTTAAGACAGTTAAAACTGGGCAGTTCCTTAGCTGCTTTTGCAAGAAATCTCTAGGGAAGTGGACTTTGAATGTTTCTCTTGAGATTTTAAAGTGCTTGTTTCTTTTCCTCTTCTTATTCTTCTGTTTTTTTGTTTTTTGTTTCGGTTGAATATTCTCTGAAGACAATCAGAGGCCTGCCAGGGTGGGACTTCTGGCTGGTTCCAGCACTGTCCTTAGGCCTCTTTCTAACACTAACTCATTGGAATTGATGCACTTTGTTTAATGGATATTGTCCTTTTTTTTTTTTTTTAAGCTGCTTGTTTGGAACAAAATGAAATGCATATTGCATTGTATCCTTCCTGCTTGCTGTTTTTCTCTCAAATTTAAAAGTTATGCATTGAGGATAAAGTACACTTAAGAAGAAATATGTGGAAGAATACCTATTAAAATAACTCCCATCAAATTTGATGGTATAATTTCAAGGGATTAAGAAGTAACTATTTTGGATGAATATTTTGTGCAGTGTTTTTTTTTTTTTTGGTTTGTGAATAAGAGTGTATATAAATGTGTGGTATATTACAGCAGTTTTAAGTGGTCATCAGAAAGTTAAAACTGGTCTTAAGGTATATATTTAACTTCCTTTGACAGCAAGGAAGGCATCTTGACCAGAGTAAATCCTTCAGAACTTTCCAGTGGGACCTCAGAGAATCATCTCTGAATGGAGGAGAACGTTCATGCTTCCATATTAGCCTTTCCAGAATTCTCCCCCTCTCTCCTGCCATCTGATGCTTTCCCCTCTGGATTTGGGTGCTTTTTAATTGCAGTTCAGAAAAGGTAGGGAGAGCAGAATTTCCCAGAGTGAGCTTGCTGCTATCACTGGGGACTCTGCTCCTGATCTCTGAGGACTGTTTCTTGTTCTTTACTTTTGCCTTGGTACAGCAGCAACTGGCCTTAGGACTCCTCCACATCTGGATGTGCAGAGCACTGCTTTGTCAAAAAATGCATTTTTCAGCTCTATGTGCAATTTTCCTTGAGCTGTCTTCAAGCAATCAATAATCTCCTTATGCCCAACTACAGTCTCTTCTGCTTTACACATCCTACTGTTTGGTTCTCTCTAAACATGAACTGTAACTGTTGAGCATACCCATAAGGGACCTTCTTAGACTTAAGACAACGGTAGTGCAATTTTTCCTTACCTGTTTATTTTCTTAATCTGATTTTCTGTATTTTCCCATGGTCAATACTTGTGGAGAGTTTTAAATTTTATAAATTAAAAATCAGTTTAATTTAAAAAGCATTTTGTTGCATGCTCTCTGTGCCAGGCACTATGTTGGATTCAAAAGTGTGAATAAAAATCAGTTCCTGCTCTCAGGAGGCTCACACTTAGCTGGAAGAGAGAGGTGTGTACAGCCATCTAGAAGTCTAGACTGCTAAAAATTTAGCAGTCTGAAAAGTTCCAGTGGAGCAGCCAGCACACACAAAGTAATCTGGATGCATGAAGCATGGGTAGCAGTTCATGATGCAGGGAAAAGGAAACTGTATTCCATGCAGCTAGAATGCTATGTATAGGCACAGAGGTGTGGAAGTACATTTTTTAAGAAAAGGGCTGGAGAATTGCCTCTAAGGAACCAATTAGCATTTGTGTTCCTCAGATAATCAAGTTAGTATTCCTATTAACCAAGAAAGCTTTTGGATAGCATTTACCATTTTATGTAATTGGATTTTTTTTAATTGAAATTTCTTGATGGCTATCTTAAGGAAAAATTTCCCTAGATTTGATTCTTATTGTTCAACAAATGTACCCCAATGTCTACTGGAATAATACTGTGTACCTTGGCATTAAGTGGATGCAATCCTGGTCAGGGACCCGAGAGCACCAAGAGATGTTTGGAGAAAAGCGAGAGGCAACTGAGAGGGTAGATGACAGAATGGGGATTAGAGGTCCTAGATGAGGAAGAGAGCAAGTTCCAAGGAGTCAGAGTTGAAGGGGAATAAATGTGTTTATGTGGAGGGAGGCTCTGGAGACTGAAAATACCAGCAACCTGGTTTTCTTTTATGAATCACGTTCAAAATTAACAAGATGGGGATATATTCACATGTTTACAGTATATACCCCATATATTTCTAAATGAAGGCAGTTGGATTGAAAGTGACGATGTAAATTACGTTTATGGGGGGGAAAGTGGATTGGGGCCTGACTGATGAATTTAAGCTATGCCTCTTGGGGACTTCCCTGGCTTTGCAGTGGTTAACACTTCACCTTCCAATGTAGGGGGTGCAGGTTCCATCCTTGGTCGGGGAGCTAAGATACCCCATGCCTCCTGGCCAAAAACCCAAAACATAAAACAGAAGCAATATTGTAAAACATGAAATAAAGACTTTAAAAACAGTCTACCCCCCTCCCCCAAATCTTAAAAGATTAACTTTTGGCCAATATATTGGTACTAACAAGGAAGGTAGGACACCGAACGTCTGGGTTGAAAGGAATATGATCAATTTTCCTCAACGACCTGCCTCAGAATAATCCAGGCTGCTTGCCGAAATACAGATTATTGGCTCCCTCTCAGAACAACTGAATCGGAATCTGAGGGAGGAATTCAGAGCTATTTTTTCACAAATTCTTCAGGGGCGAGGGGTTTATCTTGGAGGGAAAAAAGATTTTAGATCTTCCCTGCTCCTGCCCTCAGGACCAGGAGCTCGGGGTCCAGGGCGGGACTCTCTATGCGGTTTGAGCAGCCCGCCTCACCTGGTCTGTCCTACCTGTGGTGGGGACCCAGGACACCGCCCCCTTGCCGACCGGAGCCCCGCCCTTCGAGAGGGAGAGCGGGAGCGGCCAAGGCCCGCCTCCACGCCGGGTCTGGCCAATCAGGAGCTGCGGTCTCAGACGTCGCGTTACGCGCGGCGCTGAGTCGGCCGCGGGGCTGAGGTACCGGCTCCCGGCTCGGAGTTCGGGCTCTGGGCTCGGTGGCGCGGCCCCAGCAGGTTGGGAGGCCCGGCGGGCGGGCGGGCGGCGGCGCCCAGCGCCCCTCGCCAGGCCCGCTATGCAGGGCCCTGCCGGGAACTCGAGCCACTCACTGCCGGGAGGGCCGTCCTCCACAGTCGCGTCCGGAGCGGGCCGCTGCGAGAGCGGCGCGCTCATGCACAGTTTCGGCATCTTCCTGCAGGGGCTGCTCGGCGTCGTGGCCTTCAGCACGTTGATGCGTGAGTCCGGGACCCCCGCCCCTCCTGAGGCCTTGCGCCTCAAGCTTCTGGCCCACCGGCCTCAGGGAACCTCCTGTCTGAGGAGTTCAGGCCTTGGGCCCTTTGACGAAGGTTCCTGACTCGCGCGAGCCCAGGCTGGGCATTCCCAGACAACGGGGAGCTCTGACCCCAGACCCAGGGTCCTGAGTTCCTCACCTTATCGCGTCAGCCTCTAGTCAGGAGTCACTCCTGCTCCTCTCTTCACACCACGCACGCTTCTCTTCTGAGATGTCCCCCTGCAACCGTATCATCGCGAATTAAAGCTACCTCTCTTGACAGCCTACGGCCAGGACCCGCAGGTGGCATATTCCTTTCAGCCCCCTCTTCTCTTCTTAGCCTCCTCTTCACACTTTGAATCCTCATTCCCCAGTCTGATACTGAGTTTTTTGTTTTTTCTTCACCTTTACGTCAGGATTTACTATCTCCCGTTTGCATGTAAATCCTATCCTGTCACCTTGCAATACCGGACTTGTTAGGTCTTGCGTTCCGTTTCCCGGTACTGCCTGCCCCCTCTCCCCTTCTCCCTGAGCCTAATTTTCCGTTTTGGTTGGAGCAGGACCCACCCAGACTGCCTTCTTCCCCGCATCTCCTTTTTTTCTCTTCTTTGCCTGAACGGGCTCACCTCTCTGTCCCAAGCTTTCCTAATCAAGTTGCATCTCAAGTCTCCCCTGGCTGTTCCCTTTCCCAGCCCACTTTTATTTATGTTTCAAGTATTCTTCCTTTCTGTGAGACTTGGGCAACTTTAGAAACTTAATAGAGAAGCAGACTCAGAGGGTCTGAGGAGGTCTTAGAATTTCTGCGTTAAGTCATCAGGGGCCCTTCCTGGAGCATTTCATGATGAGGAAGAAAGCCCCAAATAGGCCCTCTGGAAAACCAGAAGTTCCAGCTTGTTGTCCTGTGTACCACTGGTGACGGCTTATGTTTCCTTAGTGCACGTCCTTCCTTTTATTAAAGTGATAGGAGGCCTGGTTCCCCTGTGATTGCATTCCAGGGAAGGGAAGGGTTATAACTATTTTTTACAGAGGTATTAATTCCAAAATGACTTCTCAAAACTTCCCCACTGTACTCACGTGGGCAGAATGGGAAGTTCCTGAAAAAACTGTGCTCCTTGGCATCTGGGAAGGAGCCTGCAGCCGTGTGTGTCTTATAGAGTCCAGTTGCTGGAGTTGCAGCTTTGCTTGTTTATGATGCAGGCCTTCCTTATTTGGGTGAATTCTTCCAGGCGTTAAGTAACCCTGAAGAGGCTGTTCTTGGACACTACTTTTTTCTGGTTGCCTGACCTTCATAAGTCTAGCAGGAAGTCCTGGACTGTATATGTTTGCTACATTTTCTCTCCTTTTCCATCTCTAGTTGCCTTGCTATATTTTCCCTGCTGAACAAATACCCACTTGTTCCCACAGTAATAATATGTGACGACTTAGCCAAAATCAGCTGCTGACTTGAGTGCATGAACTGTATGTGTGTGTGTTCGAGATTTTGTGTGTGGGTCTGTGCTCCTCTCCCCACGTCTCTCCTCCAGCTGGACTTCTTTTCTGTCTAAAGGAACTCCAGGCTTAGGTTTGTTCCCTAACCTAAGATTTCTTAGCATAGCCTTGGCTGTTTTCATGGGTTTGATTGATAGTGATGGCCCCACTTATTCCCTGGGGTTTGATACTTGTGATTCAGAGAGGGAAATGTGATTATGATAGGGCACAGTTGCTCACAGCTGAGAAGTGTGCCAGGTTGAAAGTTCAGAGTGACAGTGCTGGCCCTTTGAGTCTTCAGGGACACAAACACTTCTGTACTTAATATTCAGTGTGAGCACAAGTGCAAATCTCACTGTGGTTGGTATATTCCAAATGCAAAGGCAGGACTAGAAGTAGGGGTTTTTTTTGCTCAGTGTAAGCTAGACATGGAGGAACTTTGTGGCAATGGGTAGTAGGCCTTGGGACAATGATAAGTAGGGGTGATGGGGAGAAGAGTTGAAAAGGCTCAAGATATGACTGCCCTGGTCACAGGCATGGTCATGAATTGAGCCTTTTTCCCCCCACTGAGAAACAGACAGCAGGCCAAGAAGAGTCCCACTGGCCAGGACCAGTCCAGAGAAGTACTTTTGTTCTCTCTTAAACTTGTTGGTTCTAATGAAGTAGAACTGTAGGGCTTTTCCATTTTGCAGAGCTGGGAAGAGGAGAAGTCATTTAGAAGCTGCTTTACATTTTGAAATGAACTTTGCTGGGGAAAAGGAAGGGGAAAAAGTTGGTCTCAAGGAAGTTCTCCTGCTTGGGTTTGGCTGTCTTCCTGGTCACAGGACCTGTTCCTCAATCTGGCACAGCTGCTGTCAGGAGTGCCAGGCTCCCACAGCAAGACTGCTCATCTTGTAACCCTTTGAGGGAGGTCTGGGTTTGTTGAGATGACGCCACTTCATTCTTTATCAATTTCATTCTTAGTTTCTTAAGCATATTTCATCTCTCTTTTTTGGAGGGAGGGGGGCACCATTCAGCATGTGGGATCCTAGTTACCTGAACAGGGATGAACCCTGTGCCCTCTGCAGTGGAAGGGTGGAGTTCCAACCACTGGACCACCCAGGAAGTCCCCAAGCAAATTTTTAATACCAGTCGTCTCTCTTGAGCAGTAAAACTGACAGCCCCTGTCCTCTTTGGATTCCAGTCGTTTTCCTTCCAGTGCTTTCCTCCTGTGTGGTGAACTCAGACACTTCTGACAACTTCCCAGTTTTGAGGGCTGGTGCTATTCTGTTTTCCTGTTGGACCAGCTATGTTCTATAGGATGGACCCATTTCTCTACTAGACAGGCCATATACAGTATGGTTGCCTGGCCTTTGGAAGTCTTGCAACGAATCTTGGACTGTATATATTTGCTACTTTTTGTCTCCTTTTCAGTCTCTAGTTGCCTTGCTGCAACATTTTCAATCCCTTCACATCCTGACTTCAGTGAACCCTCAGACCACTGTTTCTGTGTTTGTTTTTCTATCCCCCACATCACTTTTTTTTTCTCCATTTACAGCTTGCTGTGTTTTTTACCTGAAGGAACACCCTCTTATATCTCAAGAGAGGATTTTGATTCTCAATGGGGATTTCTCATCCTGATGCTTGGCTCCCTGTGTAGGGCTTTTCAGACGGCTCAGGCCAGACAGTTGGGAGTTGATGTGATAGTTGATATGTATAGCTGATTCTTTAAGCTACATAAACATACACGCCACCATCCATATGCGTGTGCCAGCGTCAGCATCCCCTTGTTCAGGTGGTGAACTTTCCAGAGGCTTCAGCTAAGGTACCTTCTGTGTGCAAGGAAAGCCCAACCAACTCAGAGACAAGCTTTTAAAGGGCCTTCCCACTCTGGGTTTTCTGAAGTGTTTCTGAAATGCATTGGGTGTAGAAGTAGAAGGAATTGCTTTAAACGAGGGACCTTTGCCATACTCTACCTGCCAAGCAGTTCCTCTTGTTATGGTGACTTTATCTGTGGTCTGTGATTTAATTAAGTCACAGCAGAGCAGAGCTGAGCAGTTCTGGGGCTGCCTTGTGTGTTCCAGTCTAAGCGAGTGGCCCAGCCATCAGCCGAAGGTCGTTATTGACCAATGTGTATGTTGGCGCTACGGTTATTTACCCTCAGGACCTGTAAATGCAAAGCACACTCAAGCCTCCTTCACCGTGCACCATCAGAATCCTGGCTGAAGTGTAGACAGGATTGCCCTTTTAACAAAAGCATTTATAGAGTTTGGATAAACCTACCTTCTTATTTTCATGTGACAGATTTGGGCACTAGCCAGTTAGGAGAAGGTGTCAGTGTTTTATGAGGACACTGCTCGCGTTGAGAAATGATAGCTTTTTTCCTGAGGTCCAAAGTAACATCACAGACTAGTCTACCCAGCTTTGAATCTTGATCTCACATAAGAGTCCCTGCTGTTTTGTCAAGCAGTGAGCTGGCCTCCCTGAGTGTTCTGTATAGATGTATGCATTTTGGGACAGCCTTTCCTGGGATCACCCCTCCCCACCCCTTTCCAATATTTATCTTAAAAAATGTCAGATATACAGAAAAGACAATAATACAGTGAATGCATATCTGCCCCCCACCTAGATTCAGAAATTGTTCACCTTTTGCCACATTTACTTTATCTCTTTATACGTTTTTGGGGAGAAGGGGGTGATACATTTAAAGATAACTTGCAGCCAGCATCACACTTTATCCCTAAAAACTTCAGTTGAGTCTCCTAAAAATAAGGACAGTTGCCTTCATAACCACAGTTTCATGATCACACCTATGAAAATTTATAACCCTGCAAGATCATCTAATATCCAGTCTGTATTCACACAAACACACAAAATTCCTCCATTGTCACAGGTCTCTTATAGCTGGGATTTTGCAAAAACTCTGATCTGATCAAGATCCACACATTGCATCTGGTTATGTTTTGGGTTTGTTTTTTTTTTTTTTATATATTCATTTATTTGGCTGCCGGCTTAGTTGCTCCAAGGCATGTAGAATCTTAGTTCCCTTACCAGGAATTGAACCCATGTCCCTTGCATTGCAAGGTGGATTCTTAACCACTTGACCACCAGTGAAGTCCCTGGTTATGATTTCAAGTCACTTTTAGGCTGAAAGAATCTCCCCTACACGTGCATGCATGCACACACACACAGAGTTTTCCATTGTTGCTGTTTACTGACATTGCCTTTGGAAGAGTCCTGGCCAGTTGTTGTGTATGGCGCCTCATCTTCTGGAGTTGTCTGGGTGTTACCTCATGGAGGTGTTTGGGTGGTTTCCTGGACCCCTGTGTTTCATGAGTTTGGTGTGATGGAGCCATTAGACTGCGATGACTTTCTTGATAGCAAGAACACTGTGTGAGCAGTGCTGTGTGCTTCATGTTACATGGCACCAGGCAACACATGACATCAGGCAGTCCCATGGTTAGTGACAAGGTCAGTTACTGGGCATAGAGGGCGTGTGTCTAGCTTCCTCCTTTGTAG